ACGATCCTGAGAAATACCCTAAAGCACATACCGGATATTTCCACCGGATAAAATTCCTGTTGTTTTCATGTGGGTTTTTCCCCAAAAGACCCTAACGTTAACGTAAATAAAACTAGTTGCCGCACCAGAACGCCCCCAAACTCGCGAACGTGGCACAGGTCGGCTTGGTGTATGCAGGGGGGAAGCAGTGGTTCAGCGTAGGGTAGAAGCAGGTAGAGCAGCCATTGCACTTGGACGGCGAGGCAGTCGTAGGGGTGACTGTGGGGGCCACAGTAGGTACTTCGGCAGTGGTGATAGGAGCCATGGTTGGGGTCGGGTTAATCGGGACCGCAGTAGGGGTCGTGGAACAGGCAGAATGGGTGACTGTGGGGGCCACTGTAGGTACTTCGGCAGTAGTGATAGGAGCCATGGTTGGGGTCGTGGTAATAGGTACTTCGGCAGTGGTGATAGGAGCCATGGTTGGGGTCGTGGTAATCGGGACCGCAGTAGGGGTCATGGGGCTGGCAGAATGGGTGACTGTGGGGGCCACTGTAGGTACTTCGGCAGTAGTGATAGGAGCCATGGTTGGGGTCGTGGTAATAGGTACTTCGGCAGTGGTGATAGGAGCCATGGTTGGGGTCGTGGTAATCGGGACCGCAGTAGGGGTCATGGGGCTGGCAGAATGGTTGGTGGTATTAGAGCCAGTGGCGGGGGACGTGGTGATGAAGGGTTCAATGAAGTCGCGGGCGATCGAGATGCGGCTGTACACGCCAGGATTGCCCAGGTTGCCACAGCCGACGCCCCAGCTGACCACACCCACCAACTGGACAGACCCGTTCGATTCCACCGTCAACGGTCCACCAGAGTCGCCTTGGCACGAATCTTCGCCCAACTTGCCGCCCGCACACAGCATGGCTTCGTTCACGGTGTGTGGGGCCAACACCTTTGCACATTGGTCGTTGCTGATGGAATCCACGCCGACTTCCATTAGCGATTGGGAAACAGGTCCACCCGAAATCGTACGGCCCCACCCGCGCAAAATCATAGGGGTGCCAGGCGCCATTGTGTCGAACGAGACCTGGACCGGAGGGAACTTGGATGGTTGTTCCAAGATCAAGACGGCAAAGTCGTAGCTCCTGGTTACGGCGTTGTGCTTAGGGTGGTTGATGAATTGCTTGACTTTGATGCGTTCGCCGTCTTTGGTGCCGGAATTGTAATGCGACCCGATCGACACAAACTCGTAGCCTCTTCCAGTGCAATGGGCGGCGGTCAATACGACGTCGGGGGCGATCAAACTGGACCCGCACGAAGAAGCCCCCGTCTCGGTTTTGCGAAATCCGGACACGTACAGGTGCTGGCCAACTGCAGCTTCGACGCCGCCGACAACTCTATCTTCGGCGACGATGGTCGTGGAGGCAGCAAAGAGAGCAGACAAGGCGAACAGAACGTTCATGGCAAATGGCAAACTCAAAAATGAAATCTGAACCAAAGGTCCGAGCAGCCCAAGCGAGCTCATAAGTCATCCGATAAGGTAGGTTGATCAGTGGGTAATCTGAGCTACCGGTAACTACATACAGTACAAGCCCTGTCGCACACGCACTGAGGTACGCCTAAATTCTTCACCAATCTGAGCTGACTTGATATCGTTGCACTTGTTGGGGTTGGTTCAATGGCTTTGCATATACGTAAGCTTATGGGTGCAGTTCCGTGACAACTTGGTTCCGTCCCACGATATGAGTCCCACGATATGACATGTGAGTAGGTGGAAAACAATGACTCTTAAATTTTGAACCAATCACCTGCAACTATATTCGTGTTTGAGAGGTATTAATAACTGGATAAAATCAAGTGGCTCTGAACTGTTTTCAGCCTATGGATATTTTCACTCTTTAAGTACATTTTCATCACGACCAATACGAATTTCGACATGATTTTAAGTCCATTAATTCTTCTCTTTAAGAAACATTTATAATAGCAATTTGGAATAAAGGAACCCGTCCATCGTAGGTTCTCGAAAAGTGTCACAAAACCCTGCCCGTTCGTATAGGTTGGACGTCTACTTCATGTAACGAGGTAGGCTTCATGCGTACCCTGGTACCATATACTACAGTAGTATTAAAAGGTAATTGGGGCGAGATGGAAGTACATTATATGGAGCAGACGCAAGGTAATGTAGTGGTTTCCATCCCGTGGTTTCCATCATTTCGCAAATGTGTTGTAGCTACAGCAACGTTACTGTAGAGCATATCCACCCCATCCCCAAATATGTCCCAATCCCTAAAGTAGAGCCTGAGGAAGATTTGCCCCATCTGATGCCCAATATCGAGTTGGGACATATTTATCCGGATTATTTACAGTTTTGAAAACTCCACCGAGCGACTGTAAAATACAGGAAACTGTATAAGTTTACTACAAGTCTGCAAATCGGCCAGTCCACTGTAAAATACAGTTTTGACGAATTAGCCAATAGCATGCTATCAATGGATAATTTTGTCCAATCATCGGTATCATGTAGTTGTTGGAAAGCCAATAATCACCTTCCTTTGAGCAAATGGATGGTTCAAACGCGCTCGTGGCTCACACTTCACTAAACTCGTCGAGTGCATCGGCAGCCCACCAAAGCACAACCTTCTCTGACCAGTGACACAAGTTCTCATGTGTGAATGACCCATTTTCCTTACTTCCCTTCCATCAACCCGTTGCTTAGAACAGTCGTCATTCTCAACCGCATCGTCCATTTCGAGTCCATATACCTACAGTATAACGACCTTGACCAACTAAAGCGCGGGTGAGCTTTGTTACCCATTCTGTAAATTGACTGTGAGACTGAAATAGTCACTTCCTACGTAGTCGAGCAGCTTCAGCCTGAATATCGAGGGGCAGGTTGGAATGACAGCCTACTATTGACTATAAAGGGCGGGAAGGTGGTCAAGAATCTCACGAGCCGAATTCCACGTCATCACCGTTCTCCAAAGCAAACTTATGCCTCCGGGTTCATTTCCGGTATGATGATAGTTATGCGGATTTTTACCGTTTTACCGCTGGGGTTGACTACGGTGGAAGACCATGTACAGCCTGCCAACAATCCGGTACACCCAGCAGCAATCACAGGCACGCTTCGCTCATACCATCACTGGCGTGGCAGATTTACTGAAGCAGTTCAGTGTTGGCACGACTCGAGACAATCACCTAATCCAACTGCATCAACTTCGATGTTGGTGATCCCAGGGACACGTCACTTATCTCCAATCGAATATTTTGTTAAATGCGCTTCGCTACTGTACAGCTACAGTGTAACTTCATAATCCTGATGCTTGTACTGCCAAGACGTCGACCGCCATGTAAATGAGGCACTACATGTCGCGCACCACGAGTGGCGCCATAACTTGTTGTACTAAACGGTCAAATATTGTTGTTGTCATAAGAGGTCGGGAAGTTACAAGTAGTTTTCAGAAATAGAATGAGCCAATCAAAATCGATTTACCTCATTTTGTTGCACGATTTAGAAAATGACGCCAAGGACCTCTTTTTCATCTTTTGGTATAGTGAGTTGCGTAAATATCGCAGAAAAAGAGGTAAAAAGTAGGAAACTGTACTTGGACCTACTTTTTCGTTTTCTAAAAATATATACATCCTTGGAACTGGCCCTAAAGATTAGTCGATTGTTTTAGACGCTACGTTTGTTGTGGTGCTACACGGACAAAACCTAGTTTAGAGGGGGACTGGCAGCATCGTAGGAGCCCCACGCCCGCCATCAGCGTGCCAGGCACAGCACCATCGCGGTCATATTGGTCAGGAGATCGTTGCCGACCATGTACACACCCACAGCAAACATCGCAACCACCCGATTAACACCAACAGAACCATCGTCAGCAACATATACATAAATAAATAAATACTGGTAGTATAGATAGTACGATTAGAAGCCGCCTTGGTCATCTACTGTATAAACCAAAGGTACCAGAGCATTGGACACCCACACAGTCACATGCCCAGCGCAATCGACGTGACTCCGTATGTAGCCAGCAAAAGCCCCACTACTCGATCATACACGTCACGTGGGGATACGTGTGCTTGGGACGCCGATTTCACCCGACGTAGCTCTCCTGTACAAGACCCAGTTGTTATATATCACAAACAACATATTGGTACCAAGTGCTGGCAAACGTCCAAATTTCGCATGGTTATATTTATCTATTCAATATTGAATCACGCTGGAACTTCTGATAGGCTGAATATTTCCTCGAAGATCCAATCAGATCCCCTCAAAAATGGATTATCCAATAGCGTGTCTGGAATAACAAACTCTACACCAGTATTAATTACCCGATTAAGTTGGACGTTTTTCCTAGTTATATCAGTACTGCTACGTAGTGTACGCAAGGAGGTGTTATGATTTGAACACGTTACGTTGGTAACGACGTCGTAAGATTTAACTGTCAATGTCCAATGCATCCAAATCGGCCAATGATTCCTTGAGCCGCTTTAGCTGGGCGCGGAACCCACTGGTCTCCATGTGTAGCCTCGAATTCTCCGCTCGCAGGGTTCGAATTTCCTTGACCAGGACCTTTTTCTGTCCCTACCATACAAGTATTGTTTGATCATCAAACGTTGTTTAAACATATATTTTATTACTTTGGCCTGTTGCTCCACGTCGTGTTTTTCAGCAGTCAAGCACCGCATCATGTCTTCAATCACCTATCTCGTTGTTTGTCGATATATTCGATAAATACATTCGATATATATATAAAATACTTGAGATTTGGCGTCGTGTTGGTGGCGAAGCCGTTCGAGTTCATATTTGTATTCTTGGTTCTGCGTAACGTACAGCTGCAGCACTTGGTCCATGTCTTGGGACTTTGCATCCAGATATGCCATCACTTCTCGGTCCAAATTCGACTGGGCGTCCGCCAACGTCTACGAACACACGAGGGAGAGTCGATCCTTTTTACTTCATTTAGGGCCACTCTGGCTGCCACAAAAAATGTCAGAAAACTGCTCGTTTTGCACCTTTTCAGAAATATTATGACAATTGTTTAAACGATATCTTTTGTGTGTTTGGGTACCAAATCTGACATATATAAAGTGACATAATACGTCGAATTTTTACTGTTTTCTGACAGAAAAAAGTTTGAACTGCAACTGTCCAATTTTTACCAACATGTAATTCTATCGATAGTTCTCCTTCCATCATGGCATCCAGAGGTCACATCAAAGTATTTCGAAAATATTTTCTCGCACTTGAAAAGGGAATTTTCTGTCAGAATATTAGTTGACATCAAAACTTCTGCGGCATTATTCAGACTCGGCCTTCAAAATATATATTATGATTGTAGTAGTAGTCACATACCTTTTCTTCGATCGAGTACGCTAGAGCGTCTTCCGCGTCCTGCCATCCATCTCACATGAACTAACGACACAAATAATATTGTTCGTGTTGCTGTCGTACGGTGAGCTTTTGCACGAGAAAGTCTCGAACGTTTTCAGCATTGTGCAGCCGGGCGGCCAAGTCTTCTTTCTCGGCGTGGACTGCGGTCAAGTTTGCCTAGAATGGTATTCGAATATAGAGGTATTTCGAAACGATATATTCGTATGTGGAGTGTGCACAGACATATACCTCTAAACTTTTCATGCGAAGCATCAAATCGTGAAATAGTTTCATTTCCTTGGCATTGAACGATTTGATCATGTCGTTTGCTCTCGCCAGCTACAAAATATGACCATACTATATCAACATGACCGAAAAACGGAGTGATATATATATATATATATATGCGTTACCTGGGACTTGTCGAATGCTGGAACTGGTTTAATCGTTGCGGATTTGGTAGTTGATGGCAGGGTTTTATGAACGGTTGATCGCGGCATGGTGGGTTCTTTTTTCAGCCCAAACAATTTCTACGGCCCAAAAATAGAATAAAAATAGAAATCATCAGATAGGGTGAGTCTGGATGCCAAAAAAAAGCCAAAATCTTCGTTGATAATTTGGCAATTTATAAGAAATCAGCAAAAAGTGAAAAATTATCTGTCTGGATCCAAAATTGGAGAATATCAATATTTTGCCAAATATCGCGTTTTTTGCCAAAAAATACAAAAGCGGTTCAAGGGACTTTTTTACTGAAAGTTGGCAATTACTGAGTTTCTTTCGAAATCAGTATGATATCCAGACAGTATCAAAAATAGCTGACAACCGAATTCTTCGAATTACTTTGAACAAAATTTTCGAAATATTAATTGGGCAGAATTTGGGGTGTGATCCAGACCCACCCATAGTATAAATGTAAACAATCACAATACATACAAAAGCATGGATTTATCTTTATCACGAGGTTGCATACATACATGTATTCGGGCCTTCATAGCTTTGGACGTTAAGCTCATGGAGAGCACATCCATGGCATCCATGTTGGAAAATATGTGCAGCAAGATGGGATCGGATAAGGCCGCGAGGCCGCGTTGGACGTCGGGTCCTTGTGGTGCTTCGCCTTGCTAATTCACGACAGCACGAAGTGGTGACGAAAGCACTTTATAACACTAGCGAGTCTACCGTAGTAGTAGTAGCCAAAACAGGCTTGAGCAGGCTTTGAATGCCCAGACGTCGATGCAACTCTCGGACTTCGCGTTGGGATCGTGCTAACTCCCGGGATAGCGTCGCCCACGACGCGATCTGTTCCTTGGACGTTGCCAGCTCCTTCTCCAGCCTGGCGCGACATATCTAAGAAGGTTCATGGGAACTTCGAGCTACAGTACCTTTCCTTGTCTTGGACTTCCTGGGCTACAAGGTCGGCCTCCAACTGGAGTTTGCGCGCGAGGCGCCGACCTTCCATCTGCAACACGTGCACCTTTTGAAGCATCTGAACCGTACAGACAAGTCAGAACTACGTCGGTTACGATGTACGGTCATCACGAACGTTTTGCTTTTCGTCCCAATGGATACGCTCGGCAATGGCGTACTGGGAGAGCGCCGCCTGCGCTTTGGCGAGTTCGGCCGCCAATTTGTCGTGCTCTGTCTCATGGACCCACGTCTCAATGTCGCCAATCATGTCATCCAACACCGACTTGACGGCCACCACCGTCAAGACATCGGCGGTTGCATGCTGCGAGTACCTATGGAGGTACGCTTCTAGCACGACGGATGACATTTCGCTTGTGGTTGACATCACATTCACGTTGGCAAAATCTAATCCTCCATTGGTTGAAATGTTACTCAATTTTAACCAATCGTTAGTCTTTTCAAGTATGTAGTATGACAAGCCTACTTCTCCGACTACTATAGTAATACTACTACTAATACAAGACCACCACATTCATTCGTGATTGTTGGTGACATGGACAGCGACACCAAGCCCAGCGTACCCGTGACGATCCTCACAGGGTTCCTCGGCGCAGGCAAGACGACGCTGCTCAACTACATCCTGACCCAGAACCATGGCAAGCGCATTGCTGTGATCGAGAACGAGTTTGGCGAAGAGATTGGCGTGGAGAGTCTCATTGCGCGCGTAATTATGACCCTGTCCGGTCATCCAACTGAGCAAACACGTAGGACGGGGCCGAGGGCGACGCCTTTGCAGACTTTTACGAATTGAGCAACGGGTGCATCTGCTGCTCTGTCCGTGATGATTTGGTGTCGACGCTGGAAGAGCTGTTGACTCGACGAGATCGGTTCGACTACGTGTTGGTGGAAACGACGGGTGCGTCTAGACATACCGTCACCAACATGTCATCTCACAGGACTTGAAGGAATGGCGGACCCTGGGAAGCTGGCGTCCATCTTTTGGGTGGACAGCGAACTGGAAGGCCGCATCACGCTGGACGGCATAGTGACGTTGGTCGATGCCAAGAACATTGCGTGGCACTTGGAGCAGCAAACAAACGAAGTGTTGTCTCAAATCGCGTACGCAGATCGCATTCTCGTCAACAAAGCCGACCTCATGCCCGACGCAGACGATCGGCGGCGACTGGAAGGGCAACTGAATGCCATGAATGCGTTGGCTCCTTGCATGTACTTGCTATATCCCTACGAATTATGTACCTCCCATTCCATTTCCTAGTGCATTGTCAATATACGTGTGGCTTGTTGGTGTGTTATTGATTTCCTGTTATAATATATATATATATATTTATATGTATGTATACGATCGAGGTATTTATATATTTCGTGTGTATTATTAGCTGGACAGAACGGTCCAACATTGACTTGGATGCAATTCTGAACATCAACGCGTTTTCGAGCGACCGGGCTATCGCCGTCATGAACGAACACAACGCCACCGAGGTATAAAGTTCAAATAGTATTATCAATTTGCTATAAACTTCCAAAAATTCGCATATTTTGTCTACTCAATATTGAATCATCACGCTGGAGTTCTGATTGGTTGAAAACACTTGTCCGTTCTGTAAGAGCCAATCAAATTCACTCAAAAAATGAATACTTCGAACTTGCTAACGTGATTCGAGAATCAATTTGTGTCAGATTTAAAGCAAATCTATTTTGTGTATTTTACTCAAAATTTCCACCCGCGGTTGGTTGATTGAACTGCCGAACTTTCGAAATTTTCATACTAAACTGTGAGTAGTGCAATCCATCAATCAATCTTTTTAGCCAATCATATTGCAACCTTTATTATTTGTAGCCAATCATACTCCTTTGCTCGATTAGTTGGCGATGTACATTTGGTTAGACCAAACGTTAATGATCGACGATTGGTTCAAATTTCTGAATCTTGTCATTTGATTGGCTAGGTCTTTCTCAACTATATTGCCTCATTCCCTATATTGTGCAATTTACCTAAGAGTTTGGACTTGTGAGTCATTCATTCGCCAAGTAGCATTCGAATCCACTTGACCTCATTTAATCTTGAACAAACTATATGATACAACGATTAGTAAATATGTGGTTTTGCCCAATGCGGAGGGGTCAAACGTTTGGATTGGCAGAAACTCCACAGGACGTGTATCTGATTGGCTTAGGCGGTTGTTTAATCGAGTCTTTCACGACATGCGATATACTGCTGACGACTCTCAGTGTTTGACCATATACCTGTATGGATATATTGTGCTTTCGAGTGAATTTTCGTGTTGTGGCGTGGTTTCTCGTTGGAATTTAAATCGATTTGATTCGCTACCTCAGATGAGCTCAAAAAATTTAGCCAATCAAAACCTTCTCAATGAAATTCAACCAATCAGATCGATTGTGGATCGGTTTGGTCGGCGCGATTCGATTGCACCCCCTCCCCAAATTTGTATCAAATCGACAATATGTCCATCTTGTACTAAACTACGCTTAGAAACCATTTACCCACACAGCCAACGTTACAAGCACATGCGTGAGCCGCGTGCTTCCGTTGAGCGTGCGGGGGTTGGAGTACTGGATTGGCTCCCTCTTGTGGGAAGACGCGACGGACGACCGCCGGATCTTCCGCATCAAAGGCGTCGTGGCCATTGAAAACGACGACCGCAAGTTTATTTTGCAAGGGGTTCAGGACCTATTCGACGTGTCTCCCAGTGAAAAGTGGTTGCCCGATGAACCACGTACCACAAAGCTTGTGTTTATCGGCCTTGGTCTTGACTCGAACGCGTTGCAGCAAGGGTTGGATGAGGCGGGTGCTACTTAATACTGCTAGTACTACACGAGAAGGATAGATACAGTACTAGGGGATGTATACTTTAATAGAAGTAAGTGGCTTTATATTGTATTGGAGATTCGGTATGAATTTCCGGACCCCGTTCAATCGACACCAATCTCTCCCATTGGTCAATCAGAAATTACTTGTCTCTGATTGGCTACAATCCATTTTCGAGTTTCTACTGGAAAGGGCGAAGTGGATAATGGCCAATCAGATGTCTCGGTCTATTTGTGCTCGATTGAACGAACCATGCAAAATTGGGCAATTTGACGAAAATGGACAATAAATTCGCTATATATTTCCACGTGGTTTATGTAATCACGCTGGAAGTTCTGATTGGCTGACTATACTTGTCCTTTCTGTAAGAGCCAATCAAATCCACTCAAAAATGGAGTAGCCAATAGCGTTGATGATTCTTGATTCGATTCGACGAGGTGTGGAAATTCGTACCCAATCCAGAATACATCCACTTCAAGCACGGCAGATTCGAAATGCTACTTGGCACATTATTGGGTAGTGGAGCCTTTTCCATTGGTAGCATGGTACATTTCAAAGGGTGTTGCGGCACTAAGTGTCAATTCTATTGGCCACAAGGCCAAATGAATGGACACATCACCCTTTCGAATGAGCGCCAAGCCAACAACGTTGAAAAAAGTCCCAAGTCAATAGAAAAAAGGTGTAGTAGCGTTTGAAGACCTATGAACCCGGCAGACTGTACACCGTTAATATATTTATTAATCATTTTTTTAAATATAAACGGCGGCCAAAACTCTGACGTTCCTAAGGTAGCGAAATTCCTAGTCGGGTGTGGTTGGCACAAAGAGATGGTATTATGAACGATCGTTCTTTCAGGCAGTAAGTACCTTGGTCATCTGGACGAGGCGTTGATGCGAAGCACCGCCCCGAATACTGCGATGCCGTGCAGTAGTCGCCCGTGCAACTGGCTTATATATGTTTTGCCGATAATGTGTGGTTGGATTTACTAGATCGATTGTGCCGACTCTGTCGCACACACACGTGCCGTTCGATACTACCAACACAAGTACGAGTAGAAATCCAACGTTATTGGCCAGTGTCTATTGCCGCGATTTCTTTAATATTTTTCGCTACCAATGTGATACTGTATCTCAGGTGTACAATGTACGCGGACGTTGTCGCATGAGGTATATCAAGTGTACGACAGATAACATTCAAGGATGCTGCACGAGACTCTGCGCAATGTCCACTTGATGCAAAATAGCATAGCAGCTCTAAACGTCGAATAGTATTGTGCTACTACTTACTACGTACTACTTTTCCCGTTCTTGTCTTTTTATTGGCTATCTTTGGTCCAAATTTCGTTCGATTTTGGAGGTTTTTGCCACAGAAATTGACTTGAGAGTTATAAGTATCCAGTTTTACGGCATGATGAAGTACTAATAATAGTTACTACGTACTTGAAATTTGGAGTGGGACAGTCAATCGACGACCAATCAAAAGCCAGACCACTTTCAAATGGCCAATCAAACCGCTGCAACAATCGCATTAGACTGTGCCTTACAAATTCGACATGACGTTTTAATTATTAATAAGAATAGTACACAATACAAAAACTCGACCGATGGATTTGGTGCATCATCTGCCCAAATATCCAATATATGTTTTATGTTGAAAGCAGAATATTACAACTTGAATTATCTATACTATGCTACTACAGCTTCCAGTTAGGCAAGGTGGAAAGCGTTGCATTGTTTACGACCGCGGCTTCTTGGCTTTCTTGGACACCACAGGTATGTCTTTCGAGTCATGTAACAAGTGTTCTGTGCTCGGGCTCGACATGACCATGGTCAGCTGTTCGTCCACAGGAATATACGCATACATCCCGTCTATTCCCAGCACAACAGTGTCACATATATATATAATATATATATATATATATATATATATTACCGTCAACGATGCACGTTTTGGTCCGCTTCCACACGGTGAGCGTGTCGACACTCGAGTGCCACGAGTTGAGCGGCACTTGGAGCACTTTGTGAAACACAGCAGCTAGTCGCGTCTGGAATTCTGGCGACGACGTCCGGCCCCTGCCAAAATATATTATATTGAGTCCATTTTCATGATTTATATATATATAAGTATCTATTTTTACCACGGCTCGGGAAGGCACAACGTGTGGCCAAACAATTCCCCAATGTGAATCACATATTCCCCCGTGTAATTGTTGAGGCAAGCTTCCGCCATTGACTCTTCGCTGTCTTCGTAGTCGTCTGGATAGCACAGCAGCAACGTGCGCTTCTTGAATCGGCTCAGGACCTACCGATCGCTAGTATTACTAGACAGGTCGCATGCATGTACTACTAGTATTAGTAGTACTATCTGTACCTCCGGCGTGCCCTGTTCAACATCCAACCACGTCATGCGTTCCGGTTCTTCGTCGTCGTCGTCGTCCTCTCCTGCACCGTCACCTTCTTCGCCTGGAACGTGCAGATCGAAGCACTTGACGTCGACCCCACGCAACTGCAGCAGTCGTCCCCAATAGCCCGTGCCAGCCCCAATCTCCACAATCTACATGCCTGCGTTAGTTGTAGTACGTACACAGCAATGCCGTTGTCAGGATGAAACACGTACTGGTCCGTAATGCTTGATGATTCGAAGGGCTCGCTCGTCCGGAATAGCCCACGAGTATTTCTACGTACGTGGCGCATGGTGAACGGCAACAGACCTAAGCAGGCTTCGTACCGCCGCGACTTTGTCGTCCACGAGGTTGAACAGCTCCTCGCGAGTGTCGTCATCGAGGTCCGGGTCAAAGAGCCGCGCCATGTCTTTTGGCTGGGACTTCTGGAAGGTCCGATAGAAGTCCAAGTAAGGGTTGCATGTGGCCGTTAACTTGGCGCTCTCGGGGAAGATCTTTGGCTTCGACTCGGCCGCCGTCATGTTGAATTTCCAAGTTGCTGGTCATGAGTGAAATGAAAAGGGCGGATTATTTCAACCAATCCAAAGTCGAGGATTCATTCTGGCATGTGATTGGTCAATCAGACAGGATGCGACGTTTCGGCCTCGCTCGCTCGAATTCCATGCTGGTATCTAAACAACATACAGTAGCTACAAGTGACGCAGCTCAATGCTTCTTGACGCTTACTGACGCATCTCCATTGTAGCGATTTTGCTATCTCATTCTCGGACTAACATCAACATCAAACTTGGCGCGCCCTAGGCATTTCATCCATGGTCGCCGCAGGAATCGGCGATGCCATCAGGTACTGTACACTACCACCACTCTCCAACACCTTACTCACATGACCCCACCTAACGTAGCGACGTAGCTGGGATCAGTTTGGGTGGGGCCATGGAAGGCTTTGCCGTGCTCTTGGGATTGCCAGACACGCATCACGCGCATTGCGCATTATAGGACATACTCCTTGGCATGTGACCATTGTTACTCACTGTGAAGGAATTTCAAGCTCTTGACCATGTAGTGGCTCTTAATGCATGATATATCACTCTGTTATACGGGGCAAAGTTATGCGTTATGGGTTCAGTTTGATGAAATAGGTGGGGGCCTGTCACGTTATGCCGCCAACGGGGCATACAGTAGTGAATACTCATCGCAATAGAGATCCCGTCAATTCGAGTGTGAGGGGTTCATGCGTTGCGCCGATATAGACGATGCAGCTTCTCGACGGAGGATTCAGGTCAGAATCTACACGGTTGTTGAGTTCAACATTCGTGGAACGATCTAATGTTATATGAGCCATAATCCAATCAATACTATACACTGCCCCTTACATTGGTGTTGTTCCCGTCAAGTTAAAACTGCATCACGTGTTTGTCCAAGGAGAAGCATCGGTGGGGGTTGTGCTTTCGCCAAAAGGAGGTTCGAGTGTGGCAAAAATACTGTAGCAACTCCATGTCGTCGTGGACTATTCAAAGGGTCGTCGGGGCACGTGAAACGGGTCTGGTTTCTTGATTTCTTTGGCTAGGTACACCTCTGCCTTGTTGTGAATAAGCGGCAGCTTGGACTGAATGTGCTCCTTGATTTCCTTTGCCGTTCGCATGGGCACGGCCTCGTCGATGTCGTTGAGCACTAAAAATTCAAACTCGGGCGTCGGGTCGTCCTGATAGTTCTTCGTTGGCTGGTGCTGCATGTGCTTCAATCCTTGTTTCACTTTGACTCGTTTCGGGGCTTTGGAGATCTGTCGTGACAAGCGCTCGGCTTCGTCTGCTTCTACGATATCGATTGACTGTAATGTTATCATAGAGTTTGGTTGTTTATAAATATACATCACTCATGACGTGGCACGCTACGTTCGTTACCTCGCTTCCATTGAGCGGTGCTGTACGTGCCCTTGACGTTATGGAGGTGGTGCTTGATCGCTCGATTTTGCTTTTGAATGTGAGAGTATATCTTTTGGCGAAATGGCTGGTTCGATGGCTTCACAATGGGCGAGTTTTGCACGTGGAAACAGTCGTCGGTTCGGGTCATGATACGCTGCATTTTGTCCACCAAGTGCTCGTTTTCAGTGGCGATGGAAAGCTGTCGGTCTATGAAAAAATATATCCACACAGCGTGACCACAGTAACGTGAATTAGATTGAGTGGGTGAGTTCACATACCTTGGACAAGTTGCTGCTTCTTTTTGTTGGGAGACTTGACCACGGGCACCGTGGTAAGGTCCTTCTTCATCGGAGGCTGCATCGTTCGCATGTGCTCTTGGTGCATCGCGTCCGAGTGCTTTCTCCTTCGCATTGCGACAGAGTTCTCGTCCGGGAATTCATATTCCGCTGCGTATGCCACAGGTTTCTGCGGCATGCGTCGGCGTGGATTACGGTCGTGCCTGCATGCAGAAACGTTACCCTAAAAATAGCCTACCAATAATGTTATCGTCACCCTTTTTAATATACAAACGTTAGTGTTTGATGTGTGGCTCGCGTCTAGCAGCGCTGTTTCGCTAGGGCGAGTCGAGTATTTCTTTATCAGATCCATTAGCCTTGTGGAAAGGAGATATCGATCGGGATTATTGCCATCTCTAATACCAGAGGCATTTGCCGCCAAGTACTGAAACATTGCGTGAAGGTATTGACTGTGAAGTACTGGTATGCATATTTGCGAACCGAGATAGGTACCTCAGTCGCTAAAGTATATTCTCGTAGTCTGGACAAGGGACGTCGGTTTTGTGTCGATAAACATTTCAGTTAATAGATAATATCGGTATTGCCACTTCGATTGGAGGACTACCAAAATCGTACAGTTGATATCGGTATTACCTATTCGATTCGAATATGGAGTGGGAGTATTACTACTACTTACGAACCGACAGACAATCGATCGACCAATCAAAACCCACCACACATATCAAGATCCAATCAAACTCGTGCTTGATCCACCACTCACCATCAAATTAGTGTGTGCCTTATATTTGTGTGACTACTTGTCGATAGTAGTACGCAGGTACTTCGAAGTATTATAGTATTAATACTACGTAGGCTAGTACAGTAGTATTACTAGTAGTACAAACAATCGATTGATAGAGTTGGCGAATCAGCACACAAATGTTCACATTTGGCAGAAACAAGCGTGACAACATCACAAATAAGTACGCAGTACCGTACACAGCACATGTCCTTTAAAACTACTAGTACTACACATAGTATTTTTTGTAGAGTGTGGCTTAGAACTGGTCGACACCGCCCAGCCGTCCGTTGGAGAACCCGCCGGCGCGATTTTGGGCATTTTCCAAGTTGCCACTGGTGCTGGCTTCCTTCTCCGGTGTCTCTTCTTCTTCGCGCAGCCACGCCTCCGTTGTGTCGTACAGGGACAGCTTCTCACTTCCTTTCAAAGGGATGCGGGCCAATTCATCAAAGAACGCCACCTGCCCGGACCGAAGGTACAGCACATGCGACGCCCATTTTTCCATCCCGTCAAACACATGCGATGCCAAAATCACCTAATGGCACAAGTTAGTTCATGTCAGCCACAGAATCAAAAGCACATCGAGATGGATTCGATACTAGTATACAGTATAAATAGACAACATATCTACGATAGGTGAATCAAAACATGAATCCGAATATATGTCAAGAAAAAGGACAAACTCGTGGATATGGTGGCACTTTCGAACAGATCGACAAAACGTGAAAAAGGATCTGAAATTTGGGGAATTCAACAATTTACCAAATAGCACAACTTTTTTGCCAAAACATAGCGTTTATTCATGGGATTATTCTTCTGAAAGTTGGCAATAACTGCGAATCGTTGGGAGTTTCTGTTTGATCCAGGCATACAATCATAAGGGCCAACCAAATTGGTAAACTTTCGAAATACTAATTGGACAGAAATTGGGGTCACCCCAAGGCTATTTCGTTCATCACGTTTAATAACAAGTCGTCAGTAAAAACACACAATCGAAAATTGTGTGGATTGTATTGATTGTATGTACTGTGCTTTCGAGTGAAATTTCGTGTTGTGGTTTCTCGTTGGAATTTAAATCGATTTGATTGGCTACCTCAGATGAGCTCAAAATTATTAGCCAATCAAAACCTTCTCAATGAAATTCAACCAATCATATCGATTGTGGATCGGTTTGGCCCCTCCCCAAATTTGTATCAAAGCGACAATATAGAAAACCAAATCTCATTTTGTAAAGGGTTAGTATAAATCGAAACTGCTTGGATTCCAAACTTGGTGTGTCTAGATGGTTGTTATAGTTACCGTGGCTTGTTGGGGGCCTTCACTTTCACGGCGCAGAAAGTGGAGAATGTTGACACGAGAAATGATATCCAGACATCCCAACACTTCGTCCAATACGATCAGCTGCGACGGACGCAACAGCGCCAAAAACAGTTGCACGCGACAGCGTTGCCCGGTCGATAGCTACAGACATTTGAACAGTGTTACTTTTTTTATAGCATTCGACGATTCGATTCGGCGAGTCCGTGGCCATTCATTAGCCAATGAAAAGTGCTGCATGCATCATCCACCAATCATATCCTTTCACAAGTGGTTGGTAGTAGTACCTTGTGCATGCGCCACGAGAGGTCGATGCGGAGGCACTTGAGCAAGTCGGCGCGGCGGTCGGGGTACGTTTGCTGCAGCTTGACCATCATCTCTTCCACGGCGATGTCGGCGGAATACGCCGCGGAATGGGATGCAAAGGCCACGGAGCGGTTGCCCCAGTCCGAGGTCGCCATCGTACGCTGGTTGTTGAGCATGGTATCGCGAAAGCTGTCGCGGTGCCCGAGTTCCCAGCACCCGCCTACAAGTTGCTAGTAAGTGGAAAGACAGCCAGTGGAGATATGATTTACCACTCGTCGGCAAGTGCTTGCCACCGATCATCTTGAGCAGCGTGCTCTTGCCGGCGCCGTTGCCGCCCACCAAGAGGATGCGTTGTCCAGCGTGGAACTGAACGTTCAGGTTCTTCAGGATGGGCCCGCCGCTGATGTCGATGCCAGCATAAGTCTCCACGTACTTGAACTCCAAGTTCTCAAACTAGTACCAAGGCATCCTTAGCATTGCAATGCCACGAAGTCGTTAGCCTTACATACCTCGACGGTCACGGTGCTCATGGAAATCGATGGATCAATGGTCGAGAGATATGGGCTACAGATACCATTGGCTAAAATGCGTACTAAAATACGACGCTATGATCTATGGGATTGGATAATAATATTTAATCACGGTGCTGATTGGACACAATATAGTAGTCCAAAATTCGTTAACCCGTTTCATCCATGAAACCTGTATCAATACATACATATCCGCTTCTACAGGATTTCGAGATTTGAAATTGAAGCACCAACCAAAACACATCACCATGGCCAAGCACGGGAGTAAGCAGCGGAACGCGGCGGCGCACCCGTCTAAGTCAGGCAAGAAGAAAGGAGGGTTTGACAAGAAGAAAGGAAGCTTCGATAAGAAGAAGCCAGACGCTGTTCAGCCCGTGAAGAAGAAGGTCACCGCCAAGGTCAACCCGAACACGCCATCGTCGCTGAACCTGAATGCGCGCGTGGACGCAAGCGCGTCGTCTGCGTTCCACCAAGCCAACATCTCCAACCCAAACCCAAAGAGCGTCGGCGGCGTATCGGACAAGCATCGCGTCCTGGTCGTGGGCGATGGAGACTTCTCGTTTTCTCTGGCGTTGGCCACTCGACTGGTACACACCCAACTCTCGTCGTCGAGAATTCAGACTTGGCATATATTCCAATTGCACAGGGAGGCGAGAAGATTGTAGCCACCGCATACGACAGCGAAGCAGAGCTTCTGGCCAAGTATCCCAATGTATCCGCCAACATCCGCGGCTTAAAAGTCACTCAAGTAAGCTATAAAACCTACAAACCCTATAAAACCACCATCATCTATCTGCCAATGGATGGCTTTCCTCATATACATACATTCATTCATTCGCAGGCAGACATTCATGTTGGCGTGGACGCAACCAACTTGGCGCGAGAGAGCTGGATCCAAACGCTGACATTTGACCGCATTGTGTTTAACTTTCCGCACTTGGGTGGCGCTACAGAGGAAGACGTGGAGAGGAACCAGGATCTGCTTTGGCGGTTCTTTCAGTCCTCCCGCAAGTACCTGGTAGGTACTACGAAGGACCAGTGTAGTTTCTAGTATTCGTGCTACAATGGATATTGATTTTGCAGGACAACTCAAAAGGCGAAGTGCATGTGGCCCTTCGCAACACGCTGTTTTACAACCGGTGGGATGTGACTGCCCAGGCGACCAAAGCTGGCTTGAAACTCAAACGGTATAAAGTTCGTTGACTTATGGAAGCTGACGGTGTATAAATTCTGGCAGAACGGATCGGTTCAACGTGTCGTTGTATCCAGGGTATGAAGCACAGCGAACGCACCCCGCGTCATTTCGAGGGGAACCCCCGTCGACGGACGGCGCGCGGACGTATGTGTTTTCAAAGGATTTGCAGTTTGTCGACCCAGTTGTTGATGCAACTCCTACTCCTCCGTCGGTTGCCAAGATCCCCGCCAAAGCTAAGTCGAGTGCGCCCAAGGCGGTAACGATCACAAGATGGAGGAATCGAATGGTATAGTGATGATGGTTCATATGGTAGGCCAAGGCAGAGAGCTGGAAGTGCGTGCCGTGCAAAGCAACGTTCAATTTGCAAACCAAGTACAATGCACACATCAATTCAGCCAAACACGCGAAAACGGTGAAAGCGCTCAAAGGCAAAAAGTAACCGCCACGAATACTATTACTAATAGTAGTATTAATACCATCACAGCTACTATTCATAGTACGAGTGCCTGTACATACCGGTAGAAGTGTACCGGTACATACAGTAGTATGCTGTAGACTAAGAGTATTTAGGCTACTACTAGTAGTACTACTACGTACTGGACTCTACGATTTACTATTAATAGTACTACAGTACTACGTAGTATTGACAGTCATGTACCAACAGACGTCGTGTAACCGTTTGTGTCCGAAAGGTCACGCACGGAACATGTAGTTTCACAGGTTTCCCTGCCACAATGCATTATCGTCTAATCTTCTGTCCGAGAAGACGCTCAGGCTCGTGGGTCGAACACTTACATTGACAGCGACCAGGAAGCTGTAGCCATGGCCTTGACCGTCGAAGTTCCGCGTGATGTCGCTGTGTCTGTGCCGAACCAAGCGAGCGAAGAGCCGCCGCACCACGAACTCACGACGCCACCCGTGTCCGACAAGGAAGACGAGCCAGCTCGGCCGAGCGATCCCGAGCGGTTTGAGCTCGAAGCGTTCACGCCGTTCTCGTCCAGCCACCTGTGGAAGCTCATGAGTTCGTTTTACGACCGCCAAGGCGTCGAGTCTTGGGCGCAGGGCATCGTGCCGCACTTCATCACGTCCAACACGTTTATCGCCAAGCGGTACACTCTTCATGCGCGTTCGTTTCAGGATGTGTCTCATTCTGTGTGTACGACAGATACGTGCAAGTGTTTGCAGCGTACCTGCGTGATGCCGTGGCCAAAACGTTGGACCCGACTGAACCGCTGTACATTGTCGAGCTGGGCACGGGAAGTGGCAAGTTTTCGTTTTACTTTGTGCAGTGGCTGTACGAGATGGAGGCCGTGGTGAACCTGTCGTTTCCACTCTGTCGCATCCGCTACATCATGACCGACTTCACCGACTCCAACTTGAAATTCTGGCAGACCCACCCGGCGCTGCGGCCGTTTGTCGAGCGCGGCGTTGTGGACTTTGCCATCTTTGATGCCACCCAAGACACGTCGTTGTACTTGATCAACGCCAAGCAAACAATCGCGCCGCAATCCCTGAAGAATCCCATTTGCGTTGTGGCCAACTACCTATTTGACACGCTGCACCACGAGCTCTTTCGAGTCGACCAAACCGAGCTCAAGCAAGGGCTCATTAGCGTTGGCTCTACGAGACTGGATGAAAAAGGTACTGTAAATCCCATCCATGATATATATATATATGTGTGATTGTATATAGAGTTCACAAGGAACGATGGTGATGTATGTATAGACCCCCTGGACCCGGAAATCATCAAACGCCTGAGCAATCTGTACCGCTACGACGACATCTCGACCGCGTTCTACTCGAATCCGCACTTTAACGCGATTCTAAAGTGGTATCAAGACTACTACGGTGACCAGCCTGCCACGTTCTTGGTGCCCATTGGCGCGCTAAACGCGATTGAACGACTCAAGTTGTTAAGTCGCCACCAGCTGTTGATTCTGTCAGGGGACAAGGGCCACACCAACCCCGACCACTTTCGTGGATTGCAAGATCCCCATATTGCTGTACACGGCAGCTTTTCCGTCATGTAAGACTGTTATACTATCGTACTTTGAGCCCATAGATTTAGATTACGCGACGGATTCACCAACATATCCATCCATCGATTCAATCTATGTACAGAATTGTGTCTGTAGAAACCGCTCTCTCTCTCTTGTGTCACACTAAAATAAGTCATACTACACTATTTCGATGTGGAATGGTTGAAGAGTGTATTTGATTGGCCACTTAGTTCGTGTTCTGGTTTTTGATTGGTCGATCGATATTGTGTGCCGCTAGGGTGCTGCTCATACTCCCCCCTATAGCTTAATATTCATACATATATATCTACGAATGTGTTGATGGATTTGACTTGTTAGGGTAAATTACCATGCCATTGGCATTTACGTGGCCCATCGCGGCGGGTTTGCGCTACACAATCCCCAGGAAGAGGCCAGTCTCAAGGTAAATATGAAAGGGAGTGGCCGTATCTAACCAAACTGTAGGTGTCGCTGTTTGTCGTCCCTCAAGAAATAGAATCGCCGCCGCCCCAAGCCGACTTGGAGGCGCTGTCCGTCCAGCGAAGCGCCGCCTACCCGACCGTGTGCCACGTGTACGATGACACGCTCGTGTCCTTCGGCCCCAACGACTTTTTCGTCATGCAAAAGGCCATCAAGGTTGGTTATTTCCCCTGGTTTGACTTACGCTTTATAACAACATTGTTTAACGCTGAAATGTAGGAAGACGCAAAAGCGCCAAGCTTGAAAGGCGTGTTGGCGCTGATGAAACTGAGTTTTTACGACGCCGATTTGTTTTATAAATTCCGCGACGTGTTGCTGGACCAGTCTCCGGCCGCCCCCGCCAAGGTCAAAGTCGACGTGATGGTTTGCCTCAACAAAACGTGGACGCACTACTACCAACTGGACAAGGAAAAGGTACGTACACGCGGCGCACTATATATATATTATTGATTTCTTAATTTGGTACGAATTTCTGGACCCGTCCAATCGAATCATGCCGACCAAACCAATCACGAATCACTCCCATTGGTCGTAAATCCGAAATTACTCTTTGCTGATTGGCTACATTTTTCTTCTTTTTATTTCGTGTTTTCTGTGGAATGGGGAAACCCAATCAAAACTCGCGGCGAGATATTTGTAATCGGTTTTACGAAACGCACAGAATTGAAAAATATGTAGAAAATTCATCCTACGCATTGTGCTATGTTTATGAAATACCATATTTCTGAGAGTCTAGTCTGAAAATGAATAAACGAATAGGACATTGCATTTGAAATCGGCCGGGTGTACTATGGTATGCGGGAATACGATCACGCGCTGCAGTTCTACACGCGGTCCTTGGACGAGATGGGCAAACACCATGTGACGTACCACAACATGGGCCTTTGCTTCTATAGCACTCGTCGGTAGGATGCGTTCAAAGTGATGGGGATGATAAGGTGCTATGATGGCGTGTATATAGCCTCCAAGACGCTCAGCAGTGCTTTGAAGCTGCGACCGAGTTGAACTCATGCTACCAGAAGGCCGCGACGTGGTTGCAGCGGGTGACAGCCGAGTTACACCCCACTGCTGTGGTGGCTGCCAATAATGACAAGGAAGACCCGTTGCTCGTGTCCATGCAGCATATCGACTTGGATGTGTCGACGACACCCGTGGAACCATTATCGTAGAGGCATCGACGCCCCCATGTTCAAGGTGTGTGTAGTTACAGCGGTAAAAGGCGGTAAAATAGAAATTATACTACTAGTATTACTTATTATCACTGCTATTAATACTACTACTAACTACTATTAATACTAGTATTACTGCAAGTAAAGTACCGTACATGCTATTAATATCTACCCGGACTTACAAATGGTTAAGAACTACTACCACCGGTAGTACTCGCGTTCACAATAACTGCCCGAAGGCGGCAGAAAAATAATATACAAATAAATGTACTCGCGTTCACAATAACTGCCCGAAGGCGGCAGAAAAATAATATACAAATAAATTGAACTTGATGGTTGAATGTCGAATTAAACGGTATTTAAATTATTCTCATATACTTCTAGCGAAAACTCATCACAACACGAAGTTATAGGAAGGCCAAAATTGAGGCATTCGTGGTTGGCGAAATCAGAATCTGGAGTTGCTTTGCAGTCCTCTAACTCTTGGAGAAGGGCATCGGCTGCTGTACTGATACGCTTTCTACCGCACATTGCAAGTGCGGTGTCTTGTAGTATTCAGAAATTCGCGCCGTTTCACTTTGAAAACTGAGCAGTTCCGGATACTATATTACTTTTGCGGACGCAATATTTCTATTGCGCATGTCTGTCTACTACGTAGTACTACGTAGTATATTTTTGTAGTATTCGGACGATATGTTGATGACATGGGCATATATGGAAAATGGACGAACTTTGATGACGCTTTTCTCGAGGTGTGTAATACTTAGAGCAATATTGTACACTACTAGTACAGTACTCTCGATACTACAGTACAGTGAACGACTTTGAATCCAAGCAATGTTAGAATCCAAATCTTGAAGTCTGATTTGCCAACTTTGATTATTTTGGCAAATCAAACCAACCGTTTTGAAAACCATGATTCTGATTGGTTAAGTACAGCAATATTCAGAAGACTAACTTTGGTGTGGCTTAAATTCCCTCGTTCCCTGTACAAGATAGTCCATTACTAGCTCACTATATTTGCAGCATGGTCTGTGCATACACAACGCTCTCTGGCACAAGGCATCTTACACGCATGTGCACGCTTGTTCTTGAAATACGACGAATTTGGCAAGTTCGATCTGTTGTTTATTTCTACCGTTGTTGATACAGACGACATGCAATAAGGTGTTCTTGATAGTACTACGTAGTATTGGTTGTGGTAATGAGGATTGGAGAGTTCCATGACCCGTTGCGCAGTATGCATTGAGAAATCGCTGACCTGCATCGCGCCTTTCCCACATGTACGCATGCACAATCTGGAGGATGCGTATATAAACCGCGGTATATAAATCGCGTTGCAAAACGTAAATAATTAAGGGAAGAATAAAAATACGCATATTTAATACAAATATCAACACAAAAATGTTCAAGCGAATAATAATATGTAACTGTCGTGCGCACGTCCACGCCGCTTGATTCTGTTGACAGTGGCAAATTCAGTTCCTGGTTAACTCGCACGTAATAATAAAGTTGTTGTATCCCCTCGACAATGGTACACCAAGGAATAATCAAGGACCTTTAATTCTTCATAGTGATGTGTTTGTGTCCTGTTCCCATCTTGAGCGAAAAACTGCTATAGGACCATAAATTTCCAGAATCACGTGGCAAGCAGACGTGCCAGGTCTCTACAGTACTACTGTACTCTCTGCCACATTAATTTTCCTCGTTCTAAATTGATAAAGAGAATTGTATTGACGTTGATTAATATAAAAGGTACATGCAGTGCACCTGTCATAATTTATATATCTCAAACCATCCACATCCGAAGCTTGTCATTTTCGGATTTTCACTCCAGCATCAACATGTCGTTCTTTTCCAACCTATCCAACATGGTGAAGGACCCGAACGTGCTAAGCAAAGTCGAGTCCATTGGCAACCAGCTCATCGACACGCACTTGAGTGGAAAGGACGGCAACAACACCGACAAAGATGCCATTGCTGCGCCCGCGCCAGAAGAAGCCTGGGTACGTAGTCGATAGTGCATCACCAGCAGTGCTAATGGAACCGAGTAGGAACAAACCAAACACACCAACGACGACTCGACCAAGAAAGCATTGTTCATTGGGATCAACTACGCTGGCACGCAATCCGAACTTCGAGGTGGGCACGAACGACCACATGAATGGAATCTGACCATTCAATCGTGTCGTTGAGCAGGGTGCATCAAGGACGTGGAGAACTTGCAGCGCTTCGTCAAGGACCGATGCGGGTTCCCTGAAAACAACCTCCGTCAATTGACGGACGACTTGCAAGGCGAGAACCGCCCCACGCGCGCCAACATCCTCGCTGGCATGCGCTGGCTCGTAGAAAACGCTCGTCCCGGTACATCCCACTACCCCTCCATCCAAATGCTTCTAATCAGTTTTTTCCAGGCGACTCTTTGTTTTTGCACTACAGCGGCCATGGCTCTCAGCAAAAAGATGAAGGTACGCACACCCAGGGAGCAACCAGTCGTATGGCCTCACGACTCACCTCACTAGATGGAGATGAAGCTGATGGCAAGGACGAAACAATCTGCCCCGTTGACTACGACACAGCCGGCATGATTACCGACGACGAAATGCACTCGATTCTGTGCGCGTCGTTGCCGGCGGGGGTGAAACTGACGGCAATTTTCGACTGCTGCCACTCTGGGTCGGCGCTCGATCTCCCGTTTATGTACACTGTGGACGGCAACTTGGACATCCACCAACAAGACAATCGTGCCGTAGCCGCCAAGCACATACTCAATGCTGGTATTCATGCCTTAAAAGGTCGTATATGGCTAATGCAATGCCAGGGTTGGATTTCTTGCGAGGCAATAGCGACAAGGCCAAGTCTGGGTTCCAGGCCGGAGTCGAAGCATACAAGGCCCCGGCGTCTGAAAAGCAAGGCCCTGTGGCCGAGACCAGCGTGAAGGATCGCACGACCGCGGCGGACGTGATCCTCCTCAGCGGCTGCAAGGACACGCAAACGAGCGCCGACGCCACCATCGACGGGTCGGCCACCGGCGCCATGTCGTATGCGTTCATTGCCACGATGGACAAGTTTTCGCTGGACGTGACGTACCAAGACCTGCTCAAGGCCCTGCGCGAGTTTATGTACTCGAAATACACGCAAGTGCCGTGCTTGTCGGCGGGGCGTGCGCTCACGATGAAGGTCAAGTTTGCCTTGTAGGGTATTAATACTGTGAATGTTCTCGCTGACTGAATGAAGAGAAGCATAATGAGCTCACTTGTACTTACTTAACAGACTCGTTTACAGCTTTCACCTTGAGAAAGGCATGCAAAGCACTGAAAGGCTGGTGTGAAGCATAGCACGTAGAATGCTCGGCAACGAGATCATTTGGTCTTTCGTTGTTTTCACTTGCCCTGGTACAACTTACACGGCAAAAGAATTAGGTGGGGGTAAGAGCCTGTCGACGGTGCATTGTGAGTTGGGTTGCCGAGATGGAGGATTGCAGCAGGTTCATGTGTGCGACAATGGACACTCGACGTGTGATACAAGTACTATATCTCCCAGGTAGAGTACTGTATCAATGTCATCATCATGACAACATGCACGAACGTTCGGCTCTATCTCCGCTTGGGAGCTAGCTACTTTTGGGCGCATACTGACCGTGTCTGGCTGGACATTCCTGAATACGAAACGGTCGTGAAATCGAACGGCGGTTTCAGATGTGTGAATGTTGGTGAAAACGTCAAAAAGTTGGTTTTATTGAGTATTTAGCATACCCTACCAGAACGAACCCCTTGTGGCGCAGCCCTACCCCTGCCGATTTCATCACTAACCGGCTGAAGCCACAAGGGGCTCTGATGTGAAAAGTCAATACCAATATACGTGCAAGCAACTCGTCCCGAGTTCGATCCCGGTTCAGGTCCTTCTTTTGCCTTCTACGGATACATTATCCGTAGGATCCATTCTGTTTGTCGTGTCAACCAAAACAGATTGTTTGTTGCGAAATTCAATATGGAACCAGATGGAGCGGCGGACGTGGAGCCGATGCGGCAGCCGTTGGACCTTGTGCGACTACGGTGGTATCTGGAGAAACATTTCGCGATGATGGGGAAGAACGTGGGCTTATCTGTGCACCAATTCAAGCACGGGCAAAGCAACCCGACGTACTTGGTCGAGTTTGGAGCACAGCGCATGGTGTTGCGAAAGCAACCAGCAGGCAATATCCTTCCATCGGCCCATGCAGTGGACAGGGAATATCGCGTGATGGAGGTACTACTTGTCACAGGCATGATGCCGTTACTGACGTGGCTACAACAGGCGTTGCAAACCACGGCCGTGCCGGTGCCTCGGATGGTGGCGTTCTGCAACGACCCGTCGGTATTGGGCACGCCGTTTTTCCTCATGGAATACGTCCCAGGACGCGTGTTCAAGGATCCCTCCCTGCCCAACATGACACCCATGGAGAGATACGCCATCTACCACGCGTTAATCGACGTGTTGGCCACGTTGCATGCCCTAGACCCGTCATCCCTTGGGTATGTCCGTTCGTTCGTTGTCTCTGGGAAGGATCGTCATCACTCTATAGACTTGGGGACTTTGGGAAGGCCCGAGAGTACGGGCAGCGGGTGCTGCGTACATGGACGCGGCAGTACAACGCGCAGATGGCCGTGTTAGTCCAGCACAAGATCGCATTAGGAGGCGAAGGTGATGTAAAGGCCGTGTCCGACTACCTCCACGGCGCCGTGGGCTCAATTCCGGACGAGAGTTGCATTGTGCACGGGGACTTTCGCCTGGATAATGTCATCTTCCATCCCACCGAGCCCCGGATTGTGGCGTTGCTGGATTGGGAGCTCAGCACCGTCGGCCACCCCTTGGCCGACGTGGCGACCTTGTGCTCGTTATATCGAGTGCCTGCGACGACGTCCCAAGTACGTTTGTTTTCTCATTGTTGCTGCACCACGACTGGCTTTAGATGGTACATGGTCTCGCAAATCGGAACCTTCCCCGCCTTGGCATCCCCACAGAAGCCCATGTCGTGCGTACGTACTGCAAACGCATGCTGAGGTACCCAGTGGCAGATGCCACGTGGCGGTTCTACCTCTCGCTCGTGTTCTTTCGCTTGGCGGTGATCCTCCAAGGCGTGTACGCGCGGCAAGTGCTGGTACGATGTTGTATGCATACGAAACGATATTGAATATGGTATGGTCCTTTTACCTAAAATTTGGTTGACTTTTGTGATGAATCGCCAAATCTGTCGATCGATTCTTTGTACGTACCTGAATTTTTGTACTTAAGTACAAACTGAAGTATGTTTGGTATCACACTAATAAAAGTCACACACACTAATTTGATGTTGATGATGTCCTGCAATCTGATTGGCTCAATTCTTCTGCCGATATTCTTGTGGGTTACATTGATTTGGTTGTGTCGATTATGCATTTTAATTCTCCATGTCGCTCCAGTTTTGAATAAACACAAGCAATACAACGGGACGGACCATTGGATAATGAATCATATTGTTTGTACTTTATAAAAATATTATAAATATGTTTAAAATATGTGTAGGGCAATGCATCGTCTGCGCACGCGGGCGCGGCCAAGGACTGCTACTTGCTGTTCATTCAACTGGGCGCCGCCATCGGGCACGAAGGCGGCTACAACAACGATGCACTTAGTAACAAGAATATGGTGAATCCGTCCGTGTTAATGGGGCTGCCCTTGAGTCCGCATGCATTGCAAGTGTACGGGAAGCTCCAGCGCTTTTGCGATGCGCGAGTATTTCCAAGTGAGTCGGTGCATGTGGCGGAGCTGGCGGCGCTGAAAGATGCCGGACGTGCGTGGTTGGAAGTGCCGCCGATCGTCGAAACGCTCAAGGCGGAAGCCAAGGCCCTTGGATTGTGGAACTTGTTTCTGACCAAAGTAACCCTGCCCAACGGCGTCACATATGGCGAAACCCTGACCAATGTCGAGTATGCTCTCATGTGCGAACTCATGGGGCGATGTGTGACGCTGGCCCCGGAGGTGTTCAATTGCGCGGCGCCAGACACGGGTAACATGGAGATCCTGAGCCGATTTGGCACATGGGAGCAGCAGCAGCGGTGGCTCGTGCCGCTCTGTGAAGGCAAGATCCGGTCCTGCTTTGCCATGACGGAGCGATACGTGGCCTCGTCTGACGCGACCAACGTGTGCACGCAGGTGAGGGAGGCTACATACTGTACATGTATGCTATCGGAATCGAATCATGGAGTCTGGTATTACAGGTCGAACGATGCGACGATGGATATGTGATCAACGGAGACAAGTGGTACATCTCGGGGGCCGGCGACCCGCGCTGCCAACTCATTATCGTCATGGGCAAGATCAAATCAACAGAGATATTATCTCCATTTCGCCAACAGTCTATGATCTTGGTACCAATCGACACGCCAGGTGGGTTGTACGTTTACCGTATCCAATTACTTGTTGCCGACATGCAGACGATACCGTATCATGTTTTTGTATTCCGACATTCCTGGTTGATCGATCTATCATGTCCGTAGTATCGGATTACTTGATTCCGATATGGGGAATCTACTAGGCGTGTCGTTGAAGCGACCGATGCACGTGTTTGGGTACGACGACGCTCCACACGGTCATTTGGAAGTGTCGTTCCACAACGTAAAGGTCCCGTTGACGTCCATCTTGCTGGGAGACGGGCGGGGCTTTGAGATAGCCCAAGCTCGACTCGGACCTGGCCGAATCCACCACTGCATGCGCGCGATCGGGATGGCCGAGCGCTGCATGGAGCTCATGGTAATGCAGCTCATGGATCAGGTTGAAGATGACATATGTGCGTGCGTTAGGTCCATCGCGCCAAGACAAGGTATGCGTTTCAGCAACTGTTGGCTGAAAACCCCGTCGTCGCGGCGTCCGTGGCCAAGTCGAGATGGTTTGTTCGTTGAATGCTTGCAAGGTGGCTCCATGGACCTGTGTGTGTGTGTGTGCGTAGTGAGTTGGACAGCGCGCGACTGCTGACACTGCACGCGGCACACGAGATGGACACCAAGGGCAACAAAGCAGCGGCCCAAGCGATCGCGATGATCAAGATCGTGGCCCCGAATATGGCCATCAACGTGTGTGATCGCGCCGTCCAGATCCATGGCGCGGCGGGGGTGAGCCAGGACTTTGTGCTGGCGTACTACCTGGCGGCGCTGCGAACGCTGCGCTTGGCGGATGGACCGGACGAGGTCCACATGCGCACAATTGCCAAGGCCGAGTTTGTCAAGTCGCACCTATAGTTGCATCATCATGGGAGATTTCGGAGATATGATTTCTCTTTTTCTTTTTCCGTAAAAATTCAAAGCAAAGTATTGTCGATTTGATACAAATTTGGGGAGGGGGTGCAATCGAATCGCGCCGACCAAACTGATCCACAATCGATCTGATTGGTTGAATTTCATTGAGAAATGGGTTTTAATTGGCTAATAAATTTGAGCTCATCTGAGGTAGCCAATCAAATCGATTTAAATTCCAAGAAGAAACCACGCCACCACACGAAATTTCACTCGAAAGTACAATAAAGGCAAGGGATGTTATATCGACGATTTCGGTGATAACAACTTTTGCCTATCCGTAGACTAGATGGAGCCAAATTCGTGGACTTGGTGGACGATCAGCGAGGTCATTGTGGTGAAGTCATCCATGGGTCATTCGCCGTTGAAGCGTTGGGGCTAGTAGGAACGACAGAGGCATGCGAAGCATTGAACTGAATGAACTCATGTTGTGTTAGCTCAGTTGTTCTATCTGTAAGACGTTCGGAAAGGCGTAGGTAGCTACGAAGGCAAGGAGTGGCTTGCATCTAAAGTGCTTCTATACTAGTACCTATGTGGTGCTTTTAAGATATCGTTGATCAGCCACTGGTACAACACTCCCGCCGGGTGTACTGCTAGGCACCGCCGACTAAGCTGGGGCGTTGGGCGCCGCCTAATTTGCTTTTCGTAGTTCCTAATAAGTGTAGCGTTATACTGTACCACTCTAAGTGTTTTGTCCTAAACTTACTCATTCGCGTATCTGATTGGTGTAAATGCAAGCTGAAGATCTCCTCTTTGATTGGCTACTTCAAGCTGCGCAAAATTCACACTCTTGGCGAAGTTATCGAACTTGAAAAATGGCCTTCAAATTGGCAAAATATTCAATCACCCGCCAGAGAATCAAATCTTAACTTTACATGTTAAACCTCCCCATGTCACCCTCTATCGCTTCTATGATGTTGTATTTATGATCAAACATACTCAAAGGACACCATACGCCATACATGACCGTAGCACCTTCGGTAGACGTCTGTCGACGACGAAATCGCACCTGAGGCTAAACGATGCCTACAGTAGTTCTAGCCATTTGAACAAGCTACGGCACTGTATTCGGCGATAACCTTCCGATTTGCTTGTTCTGGTTGATGTCACTTGATATTATCACATTAAATATGCTGTAATTATATTGGGATTTGTACAGCATATAATAAACATGTATACAAGTGGCTAAATGATCTATATTAAGTAGACAAAATTACAAGTCAAACAAAACTGCACCTTCGAAAATATGCAACACGACAGCTATTTTGGACCAGAGTAGTATATGTGATGGTATACGGGATTCTACGTCACTATGCATAAAGGTGGAGGTTATCATGAACTTGTTCGCTACCACCGCGCCTCTGATCGACCTCCATTTCGTGTGGGTCATCCTCCACGCTTCCACCTTCAACAAAAAAGCATTGCACCAAGTCAACAGATCTGGCCAATCACGGTCGAGGATCCCCATTCTGGTACTAAGTTCCGGAGTTTTCCTCAATCCTATAAAGCTTCAGAGGTTATTTTAAGGATAAAGATGAGTACATCGTCTGCCTTGCCACACATATAAAAGGATCAACGTTCCACCAATCTTAGTCCGTGGAATATTTGAATAGCCAATCATACGCTACTAACTGATTATTTCTAGCCAATCGAATTTTCACTTGCACTGTAACGGGTTGTCGCACCCACACAACGAGAATGGGAAGGATGTAAGCAGTTATTTCCATACAAAAATGAGGACTTTTTTCACGACCACGACAATGTTAAGCGAAAAAGGACAATATTTAGACTTGATTATGGTATACACATACGTATCTTACACCACGACTTTGTTTTGGCATTTCTAGAATTTCAGTCGACCCAAGAAGTCCAACACCGATCCCATGTACAAGAACGACCATCCTGCCGTGCAGTATGACACGCGCGGTCAGCCCGTCGATGCCTATGGACGCCCCATCGCCATGGCAGCCCCTGTGCCATACACCAGCAGCGCATCGGTAGGCACTGTGGCGCCTATCAAACCAACGGTCGCCGCTCCCTCCGGCTTCCGAGACTGGCCTTTCGCAATCTTGTTTCTTGGCAACATTGGTGCGATTATAGTGTTGCTGATCATGTACGGATCGACGGTGTTCAATTCGCTGAATGGTACCTCCAAGACGGCGTTCCCCTCATCGTCCTCTACGTTTTCGTCCGACAACGTCACGACGATCTTGTACTTGTGCGCTGGATTGACGGTGATCGCGGCAGTGCTGTCGTTGGCCATGCTCAGCTTCACGATCCGCTATGCGCGTCAGATGATTCAAATCGCGCTGTGGTGGAGTGTCGTGATGTTTTTCGGGTTTGCCGCGTTTGCAGTCATCAAGAAGAATTACACGGTGGCCATCGTGACGGGGATCATCGGGTTGTTCGCGCTGTGCTACGCGTACGCCGTACAGGATCGCATTCCGTTTGCGGCGGCCAACTTGCGTGCCGCGGGCGCTGCCATCCGCAAGCACCCGTCCACGCACTTGGTTGCGTTTGTGTTTTTGCTGGTGCAGATCGCGTGGGTGTTTGTATGGGCGTTTGCCGTGGTGGGGATCACAAACAAACTGACGGAAAACTCGACCCCGGCGCCTACTTCGCGCACCGCGACCGTCGCCAGCGGCGGTCGATGCATCGCGTCCGCGCAATGCTTGACCAACTATTGCACCAGCGGCGTGTGCAAAGAACCGAACGTGTACGCGCAACTCAAGAGCACGTCGTACGTGGCGTACTTTTTCCTGCTCTTGTCGTTCTTCTGGGGCGTCCAAGTGTTCAAGAACATCATCCACGCCACGGTGGCCGGCACGGTTGCAACCTGGTGGTTTTCCAGCGACTCCAAGGGCGCGACCGGCGCGTCCCTTGGCCGCGCGACCACGACGTCATTGGGGAGCATCTGCTTTGGCTCGTTGATCGTCGCGGTGTTGCAAACCCTGCGGCAATTGGCGGAAGAAGCCAGTCGCCAGGGCGACTGCGCGGCATGCATTGCGCAGTGTATCCTGGGCTGCCTGCAGAGCCTCATGGAAACGTTCAACCGGTGGGCATTCGTGTACGTGGGCATCTACGGGTACAAGTTTATGGACGCCGGCCGCGCCGTGATGCAGCTGTTCCACGACCGCGGGTTCGACGCGATCATCAACGACGACCTGGTGGGGACCGCGCTGACCTTTGCCGCGTTTGGCGTCGGGTGCCTCTGTGCGCTGCTGGGGCTCGTGTACTATTACATTGACGTGTCCAACCAGTTTCAGTATGCCGAGTACATTTTGCCCTTGACGGGGCTGTTCTTTGGCCTCGGAGTGGCGATTATCCCCATGGGAGTTGTGGACAGCGCCGTGGCCACCATCTTCGTCTGCTTTGCCGAAGACCCCGTCGCGTTGCAGCACTCGCATCCGGAACACTTCAATGAGCTCATGACCGAGTGGCACCGCCAGTACCCTGAAATCATGGTCGCGTCGGGGTACTACGTCGTGGCGTAAACCGTGTTAATCATACTTACTACCCAGAGATTACTTTCCATAAGATAGTTGGTTGTGGAAAAGTAGCAACTAACGTTACTCACAGTTTATGTGGTAGGACACGCTAGAAATCCCTAGCGTGTCCTACCACAAAAACTGTGAATACTAATCTAACGTTACTATATTGATACTTACTTTAAAAAACTAACTACCTCCAGATCGAAACGATTGATTGATTTGGCATTTTCATGCCACAAAAAGTATGAATAAGGGTTTTTTACCGCGGCCAAAACAGGTTATTAATAGTATTGTGGATTCGGTACAAATTTCCAGACCCCGTCGAATCGAATCACGAATCATCGACGCTATTCCAAATTTGAGTGTATTTGATTGGCTCTTACAGAAAGGACAAGTATATTCAACCAATCAGAACTCCAGCATGATTGAATATTGATCAGACAAACCACGCGAATTTCGGAAGTTTACAGTATAGCGAATTCACAATACACTGCAACAAGCGCTTGCTTGGATAAGGTGCAAGCCAGACTGTATCTAGCTAGCTAGTAGTACGTGTCAGTGTGAATGGGGTGGTTTCGGGGCTTGCAACATTTGTGTACTGTGCATTGCACGACTCGTCAGTGATAAAAAGAACTCGAACATCGACTGGGCTAGCAGCCGGTTTTATCGGTGGTGTGTACAACCGAAATCGAACGAGTGTACCATCTACATGTATGTTCAGGTGGTATTAGGCACTTGTGCTAAGACAGACTCGATCCAAGCAACGAGTTGGTCGGCAACTGGTTTAGCTTGGGTCTTTTGAATGTTGTGGCCACCCGTGGGGAACTCGACGCGAACGCCTGGCGGAAGCAAGTGCCCAAGTTCTCGAATGATTTCAGGCTCAATCAGGGCGTCATCTCGGGCCAAGGCCACAAACGACGGGAGGTTCAATGCGTGGAGGGAGGTGGCCACTTCCTGAATGCGCTCGAAGTCAGCCGACCCAATCCGCTGCAACGCGTACGTGAAGTCGTCCTCTGGGACTCGCTGGGGGAAACCAAGGCCATGGATGTAGTACCATCTGTTGACCTTGGCGAGCACGGATCGCAACGGATGCGGTCGCTGCAAGAACCGCCCGAATTTAAGTATGGGAAAGCGTCGAAGGACATGATGTGGTCGGAATCCTACAGGCGCCAGCAGGGCGACGCCACACACTGACTTGGCGCTGGCGGCGACTCGTATGGCCGTGTGACTACCAAAGGAATGGCCCAAGATGAACAACGGCGTGGTCCTTGGTCGTCCATTCAATGCTGCGACGACGGCGGCGGCAAGAGTTTGATCGGACAACCCGTACATGCCTCCAACGACGTCGACAGAGCTACGACCGTTACCGGGCAAGTCGAAGGCAACAACATTCAAGTATTCGCGAGCTAACAGCGGGGACAAGTACTTGAAGTCCGCGTACGACCCAGGAGCGCCATGCAACAGCACAATCGACGCCGCAGCATCCGCCGGGCCGTAGGTGGAGAAATGAACGAAGGCGCCGTTGGCTGATTGATACTGGTGGTGCGTGGGAGTAGCGTAGGTGCTAGCACAGCGTCTCAGCGTTCCCGTCAGATTTGTGGCTTGCAGCCATTTGGCACGAAGGGTTGGTGCCATCATGGCCAAGACTTGCTACGAGAAAAATGATGTCGCAGCATCATTGAAGTTTGAACGAACTTCGAAGTGACTTCGGTACTTTGACAAGTCGTCGAAGTACGATGAAAACAAATCATTTAATTATTTTTAAATGATGAAGAAGATCTATTGCTCTTTTAGTACTAGTACTACTAGAGTCTTCTACTATTAATAGTACTAACAAAACCTGTATGATTTGGTTCGCGGGTCGTATAAAATTACACAGTATTCAGCAGGCCACCACACCTCAATCGCATTGGGAACTCCAAGCAACCATCGTCGAGAGAGTTGAAGCCAGATGTCACACACCCAACACTTCTTGTGCCATCGAGACTTGGTGCAGAGCACAGGCGTGCTGTTCAGCTTGTTTGGCTCGTTTTGCTCGGCCAGCTCCGCCGACCTGGTCGTGATTTACGCCCAGCGCATTGACGTATACCGCGTCGAGTCGTTTCCCCCATCAAACCCTGCGCCGTCGTCCAGCATCACGCTTCACCTGCTCCATACATTCTCGTTGTCGGGCGTAGTGCAATGCGCGCAATTGGTGCACGTGAAGAAGTCCACAGCGTGCTTGGCGCTCACCTTTAGTCCTGCAAAACTGGTGCTTGTGCGGTACCAAGCCGGCGCGTTGGTCACAGTGGCCATGCACAACTTCGAGGAGGACGGCATGGGTCTCGGTACCGCCTTGCAAGGCGAGCGATTCGGTCGGACCCAGTTCAGCGGCATCTCGAGCATCCCACTGACCATGGCCGACCCCGACCATCGATGCCTGTCCATGCTGCTGTACCAGGACCAACTGCTCGTGATTCCCCTCCAAGACAGTCGAGGCACCGACGAAGACAACGAAGATGGCGGCGACATGTACGAGATAGCGAGCCTCAAGATGGAGGACAAGACGCGCACAGAGCAGTACGCGTCGACGCTGTCGTCGTTCGGCCTGGACGGCGTCGTGGGTCGAACGTTCATGCTGAGACTCAAGGAACTGGACATCCGGGGAAAGATCATCGACTTTGTCTTCCTCGAGGGGTACTTGGAGCCGACGTTGATGCTCCTCCACGAAGAAAACGACCGCCACGCCGCCGTCGGACGTTTCGCCGCTGGTTTTGATACATTCTGTCTCACTGTTCTATCGATTAACTTGACCACACGGTAAACACCACGGCTACGTATTGTGTTGAATTTGCGAGTGATTTCACCAACTAGCTTTCGAATCGATTTGTAATATTGTACACAGTATACAACGATTAGTATATCTGTGGTTTTGCCCAATGCGGAGGGGTCAAACGTTTGGATTGGCAGAAAGTCGACAAGGCGTGATTTGATTGGTTCAGGCGGTTCTTTAATCGATTCTCTTAAGACATTCGATTCTGCTGAGGGCTCGAGTTTCGAATTGATTAGACAATATATATATGTCACCGTCATTCGATTCAAGAGAAATATATCTCTTTTATAAATGTGTATTTATACCCACGTCGAGTGAGTGCTTGTAGTATGATGTATCGTTTATATATATATATATATATATCATTCTATTTACGATGTGTCTATGTGATATATATATTAATCTATATACACGTTGAATGCTGGTATTATGATGTATCACGTACACGTATAATTCTAATAAAGATGTATTATAAGTATCTAGATGAATATCCACGTCGAACGCTTGTAGTATGTATGATGTATCGTACATATACATATATATATATCATTCTATTCAAGATGTATATAAAATATATATATTTATATCCACGTCGAATTATCCGTAGTCTGATGTATCGTATATATATATAAATATATCATTCTATCTATGTTATAGATATATTACTTTCTAATTCCACGTATCGAATGCTTGTATTGTATGATGATACATATATCATCTCTCCCTTTTCACCGTATGCCATGCGTACGTAGGCTCCATCCTAAAATCTGGTCAGTTGCGAATCTCCCCTCGGATTGCTTTAAACTTTCGCCGTGTCCAGCGCCTTTGGGAGGTGCAATTGTGTTTGCCCAGAATGCGATCTTGTACTTCAACCAGAATCAGTACTTTGGGCTGGCCACAACGTCCTTTGCAGACAAGACCACCGACACAGCCAAGTTGCCGCTGCACAGATCGCCGCTCTTGGACGAGACGTTCCTCGCATCCAACTGCCGCGCGAGTCTGCTCAATGCCGACGAAATGGTGCTAAACGTCGAGGGCCAGCTGTTCGTGTTGTCTCTGCCGAGCCACCGCAGCTTGAAGCAAAAGGGTTTTTACGGCCCCGAGGTGTGCCAACTCATGCTGCGACGGCTGTCCAGTTCCAAAGTGGCGGCCGCCACGGCCATGGCTGTGGACATGCAACGCCATTTGATCTTTGTGGGCACGCGCAATGGAGATTCGCAGCTGCTTTGGTATCACACCGACACCCACGACGTGTCCGGTAGTATTACTATTACTACTACTAGAGCCCATATATGTGTGTGTGTGGGGTTGATGGGGATTAGCGGGCAATAGTATCCGTTCGTTTTGCAGCCAACATGTGGATAGAAGAATTAGTGTGCTGCGCTTCGCCAACTTGAGCGATCGATTTTGGGTTTGGTCACAGTATTTTCAGTCGTCATACACTAATTCGATGATTCGAACGGGTTGATGCGAGAGGTTGATTGGGTGCTTGAACAGTGTACACATTTCGAACGATAGCATCATTTTATTATGATATTTTTATTCGAGATGATTGTTTATAAAAAAATGGTTTATATTTATTTTATCCACCTCTTTTGGAATGACGGGTTATGGGTTTTTGATTGGTCGATCGATATGGTATGCCGACTTTGTTTTTTTTGTTCATTCAATTTCACCAAAAATCACACTCCAATTATTATTTCGAAAATCGACTTACAAGATGTGTATGCACGCAATACTAGTATATGTATATTTATTCCTATCATAATATTGTTATTTGAGATGATTTTCAAGATGCTTGTTTCAAAAAAGGAAAAGGATGATAAATATATATATTATCCACATCGTATCGAAAATGATGGGTTCTGGGTTTGTTGCTTGGTCGATCGATATCATGTGCCGATTTGATTTTTATTATTTCGAAAATCGACTTACATGATGTGTATACACTAGATGTCCACATACCCGTGCAGGTTCCAGCGTGTCCTGTGCCTGTTCCTGACGATTTAGAGTCAGACGACGAAGACTTGTACTTGTACGGACATCGTCTCGTCGCTGTCACCGCCGAGGACGATGTCCAACCACTTGACACAGTGTCCAAAGCGGCGGAATTTGCTGCGTATTCCGTGGACATAGTCGACCAATTGCCGGCCATCGGACAAGTAACCTCGATGGACATGGGCGTGGATGTGGATATGGAAGGTGTGGCGCCCAAGGAAACACTCGTGCTCAGTGGCGGGGTCGGCGACCAGTCCAGCGTGTCTATGATTCATCGAGGTATTTTTGTCCTTTTGCCAAAGTTGGACTTGGGTGCTGATTCGCCAAAAAATCTATTTCGATCAATAATACTGTTTGACCTGAATATATTGTACAGCTGTTCATGTCAAAACACAGTTGTCCTGTGTGGTATGATTGGAAAATCTCGCGAATTAACTGTAAAGATCACATACCAATATATATATACATCAATATATATATATACATCATTATATATATATATATATGTATACATTAATATATATATATATATATATATATTGATGTGGATGACAAGGAGTTTCTTGTCATATGATTGGCTCCAATAATCCTTTTCTGGACATTTCGTTCATTCTTTCGCTAAACAAATTTGTACTGATTTTAATATCAAAAATGTTGCTGTGTGGCGTAGGCATCCGTCCCGTGGTGATCACCGAAGTGCCGCTGGAAGGATGCCGCGCCATGTGGGCTGTGTATGGATGTGCGACAGCGTCGTATCACGAGTACCTGATCTTGAGCATGAAGAGCCGCACGATGGTGCTAAAGGCCGGCGACGAAACGCTGCCGCTGGACGCATCGGGTTTATTTGTCGATGGCCCAACCTTGGCCGCGTCCAACATTCTCAACAACCAGCGCATTGTCCAAGTGTACAAGCAAGGTATATATATATATATGTATTTGGAATGTGTACAAGCAAAGTAGCATTGCATGTATATATATATATACGCACGTTGTCACATACTTACTGTATGTACTTGGAATGATGGTCATGTTGAGATGTAATTTGGGTTGAGATGATGTGCACAAAGTCAAACGACTCCACAAAGCAAGTGAGTGGTGTGTAATTGTTGTTGTTAATCGAAGATTGGTTGAAATTTCGTGTTGGTCAAGTTTGATTGGCTAGGTCATTCGCATATACATTTGTTGTTTTATATATTATTGTGCTTTCCGCCAAGTTTTTGGAGAATGTATGTGCGCTGACTGATATCCATCGGTCGATTTGTGTGACTTGTGTATGGAAGATTAGATTGGTGAAGCCATGATGCACACTATTTCAAGGCACACACACACACTGATTCGATATTTGCACGGGTTTGATTGGCCGCTTGAGAGTGTTCTGGGTTTTGATTGGTCGGTCGATTGCCTGTCTGCTCATTCTCGATTGACCACTCCACTCGATTCGACTTGACAATAATACCTTTGAATCGATGGGATTATTCTTTATATATTCGCATTGGACGTGACTAGAATTGGAGTGATTGTATGTGTTTTTTTGTCTTTTCCAATCTGGTACGATGAATCATTAAAAAAATAAGTACAAAATCATTTAATTTTTTTAAAAAGTATGTACGTTTTGTTCTTTTATACCATTCGTTGAGGATGTTTCGTTCAAAAAATGATATAAAAAATAATATTTGCGTATTCTACTTGTTGTCAACTAGGCTATTGTGAATTCGCTATAAACTTGCAAAATTCTAATCAATATTGAATATCACGCTGGAGTTCTGATTGGTTGAATATACTTGTCGTTTCGAGCCAATCAAATCCACTCAAAAATGGATTAGCCAATCGCGTCGATGATTCATGATTCGATTTGGCGGCGAGATTATTCGATTCATCCGGGTTTGGAAATTCGTATCGAATCCACAATATATATATGTGTCTTTTTTTGCTTGTGGTTGTTGACCTAATTCGTGTATGCTTTCCGTGTGTTTTCGCTTTATTTCAAATATATTCAATAGTTCAATCGGGTATGAGGGTTTCGAATGTCGAGATAGATGATGATGTAAACTCGTTTATGTGTAGGCGTCCGACTGCTGGAAGAAGCCAACAACACCCTCGAGTGTACTCAAGAGATTCCTCTGGACGGGGACATCGACTGCGGAGGCCTTGGCGTCGAAGTGCCCGCCGTGGGGATTGTTTCCGTAGACATTCTCGATCCATACGTGCTGCTTCTCCTTAGCGACGGCAGTCTGCGGGTAGTGTGCGCCGACGCTCGCGACCTGGACTTGTCAGTACTCCATCCAGAAATCCTCGAAAATGGGCAAATCTGCGCCGTGTGCTTGTTTCACGACTGGGGCCATATCTTCACCGTTTCTACACCTGAATCCACCGACCAAGAAGCAGCTGCATCGGTCCAACCAGACGACGACAGCATCAAGGACGAGGCGGATGAGTTGGATGGTACGTACATATTGACTGGATACTTTGTCTTTTTACTGCTATTATGTACGATATAGATAGATGGTTTGTAAAAGTGCAGTTAGTGGATGTCCCTGTTTTTTTATTCTTCTTTAAATTCTTCTTTAAATTGGACGATCCTACTTTGATGGTTTTTTATTCATTCTTTAAATTGGACGATTCCTACTTTGATGTTTTTTATTCTTCTTTAAATTGGACGATTCCTACTTTGATGTTTTTTTATTCTTCTTTAAATTGGACGATCCCTACTTTGATGTTTTTTTATTCATTCTTTAAATTGGACGATCCCTACTTCGATGATGGTTTGGTTGTTGTTTTCGCTGCGGTTTTATGAGATACATATGGATGTATTTGGATATATTCTCGTCGGATTGTTGTCTGAAATGATCGTTAAATGGAAAAATGGCTGTAGATATATACAAAGTCTCGGGTGGTGGCATCGCCGCGCAACCAATTGAAACGTCTCCTCGGTTACTACCTCAACAACAACACCAATCTACCGACAAGCCCGTGTACTGCGCCGTGTGCTTGGACTCTGGCACGATGCTCGTGTACTCCCTGCCCGATTTTACACTTGAAGCCACGTTTCCCGGCTTGAATGTGGCCCCGCAGGTGCTCTCGAGCAGCTCAGTGTACCCCATCGTGGGTCTCTCCCAGGACGGCAAGAAGCCGGCGACGCTGTCCCCTGTCGCAGACATTTGCATCCACCGCGTGGGTCCGTGCGACACTGTCGGCAACGGCAATGTCGTGAGCAAGATGGTGCTGGTGGTGTACATCTCCAACGGCGACTTGATCGTGTACGAGGCGGCCGGTCGTCGGTTTGTGCGCGTGGCAACGCAGACCATCACGCGGCCGTTCGCGCTGAAAAAGGAGTCGGCGGCCACGGCCATGCTCAATACGACGCTGTTCCGGTACCCCATGCTCACGCGGTTCCAGTCGGTGGCGCGCCACTCGGGCGTGTTCTTCCGCGGCGCGTCGCCCATGTGGGTATGGAACAGCCGGGGCCTCCCGTCGCTGAGCCCCATGGCGGTGCCCGTCGTCGCCAAGCCCAACCAGGTGCCCGTGCTGTGCTGGACTGCGTTCGACCACTGGAACTGCCCCCAAGGGTTTGTGTACTTTCACTCAGACGGGATGCTCCGGGTGTGCGAAGTACCACCCAACACAACGATCACCCAATCCGGCAGTGTCGTGCAAAAGATCGAGTTTGGGTCGCCCACGATCCATCATCTCGTGCATATTGGCTGCCACGGCACCGGCGCCGTTCAAGAAGCGCTGCAGACCCCCACGTACGCCGTCGTCTTGTCGCACTCGGTGGCTCCGCCCGTCGACGATGGTACGCATGTGTATCCTTAGTTGTTGTGCTGTAGGCTACCTAGAATGTGTGGATATTTTTTTAATGTTGTTTTGATTTTTTAAAATTATATTGATCCTCATCTCGTTGTGTGTGTTTGATGCGCAGGAACGGAAAACGACGTGGACGAAGACCCAGAAGAAGACGGGTACACTGCCCCAAAGCCTGGCGAGGTTGTGCCAGGGATGGACGCGGCCGACTTTACTGGTATATTTCGTACTGTGTATTTCTTTGTATATATATATATATATATCATGCTAATCGCCAACTCTCTCCATCGATTCTTTGTACTGAAGTTTTTGTATATAATATGTTGCCCTGTGGCGATTGTAAGCACACTAATTGAAGTCACACACACCGATTTGATGTTGAGAATGGTTTCCTGTAATTTGATTATATATATATATATATATATATATATATATATATTGTATTTATTATTTGTTGTAGTCGTTTGGCGGGGGATATATTGTGTGGTGATATATTTTCGAAACATGATTGAGATTTCACGACGGGGGATGCCGTTTGTTGGTTTTATAGTATTGGCTTTGTGAGTTGTGTTCTGTTTGTATATATATATACCAATTCATAATATATTTATATATTTGTACTACGTAGGTGTGTTGGACGAGCAGCACGAACTTCGGCTGATTCAGTCGATCGACGGACACCTGACGCCAGCCGGCGTGTTTTCAATCCACATGGATCGGTACGAAGTGGTGCTCACAGTCCGAGTCATGTACCTGTCGGACGCGCCGGTGCTCGTGCCCCAAGAGTGGAAGCACAAGCGCAAGCCATATGTGATCGTCGGCACGGGCTTTATCGGCCCCAGCGGCGAAGATGAAAACGGCAAGGGGCGGCTGCTCGTGTACGAGGTCGATTATGCGCAGTACACCAACGCCCAGGGGGTCACTGGTCGAAAGGTACATACATTATCACATATACACGTTGTCACATGGGTTTCTTTTGGCCAACTCTATCGGGCAGGTAGGGTTGGTTGGATGGTAGCCCACCCTCCTGAATTAGTGTATTGAACGATGCCACCACCACATATCATCATACATATATGAATGACCTCACGTCGTACATATATGTATGAATATGTGGTCGTGGACAGGGTTGATTTAACGATAGTTTTTGAGTGTTTTCGTTTATATTGGCTGCGCCATATATACATGCATATATACTGCCGCCCATGGTGCGTGGGTGTGTGTTTACTTCGATATTATACATGATGGCTGTGCACTGGAAACCAAGAGTCGTTATACGGTGGTGTATATATATATATTGTTGTGCACTCAGTTGTGTGTCCTATCGTAGCTGCCCAAATTGAAGCTCATCTACGCCAAAGAACACAAGCAAGGCGGCATCTCCATGGTGTGCCAGCTGGGCGCGTACGTACTGGCGGCCGTAGGGGCCAAACTGATCGTGTACGAGCTCAAGGGCGGACAGCTCATCGGGTGCGCCTTCTTCGACGCGCAGCTGTACATTGTCAGCCTCAACGTGATCAAATCGTACATTTTGTACGGGGACTTGTACAAAAGCGTGCACTTTCTGCACTGGAAGCCCCAGGAAAAGACCATCATCATGCTCGCTAAGGATTTTGAGCCGTTGGACGTTACGGCCACGGAAGTGTCGGTCATGAATTCGCAATTGGGGTACGACATACGCACGTTATTGTTGGGGAATAATAATACTCGTACGGGTTTGGTCATATATATATATACATATATTTGATCAGAAACATGGGACAGGTGGATGTATTTATTTGTAATCGTTTGACTGGCGTGACTTCTGTTTGTATATATGTATGTATACAAATATATATATATACATATACAATATGCATTTATATAACATATGTATATATGTGGGACATTGTTTTGCCTTTCACGTGATTCATTTTAAACACAATTGAACCTATAATTAATCAAATACTATTGTGCTTTCGAGTGAAATTTCGTGTTGTGGTTTCTCGTTGGAATTTTAATCGATTTGATTGGCTACCTCAGATGAGCTCAACATTATTAGCCAATCAAAACCTTCTAAATGCATTTCAACCAATCAGATCGATTTGGTTGACGCGATTCGATTGCACCCCGTCCCCAAATTTGTATATCAAAGCGACAATATTGCGCTAAAAATACTATCGCGCTTGCTTGTAGACTTATTGCGTGCGACATGGAAGCGAATGTCCATGTGATGCAGTACGAGCCGACCCACGTCGAGTCCCGCGGCGGTCAAAAGCTGCTCCGGACGTCCGACTTCCATCTCGGCACGCGCGTGACGTGTCTGTTGCGCAAGCGCATGGTCGACAGTTCGTTTCCTTTGTATGTGACACTTCTCGCGACCGCCGAAGGGGGCCTCGGCGTGCTTATTCCAGTGCAAGAGCGATTGTTTCGCCGCATGTACACGCTGCAAAGCATCATGGTCAACGTCTTGCCTCAAAACGCAGGTATATATTGTCACCTATCTGTACGATTGGTTGAAAGTCGATGGGTTTCTATTGTATTTTTGATTTCGGACTGTGATGCGAGGTATTTTTGGGTTGAACTATAGAATAATATATGAATCGATGGCGAAAGCCGCCTCACTCACGACTATGATTGGTTGAAACTCGATGGTGTTCTTTACGTTTGGGACTATGATTGGTTGAAATTTGAATACTTTAATACTTTTTGTAGCGAACACTAGAATAATACAGATTTTACGGATTGGTTGAAATTCAGTGTTTCTTTTTTCTTATCGGAGTATGATTGGTCAGAATTTGTAGTTTTGATGTACCGAACACTATAATTATAATACTGATTGGTTAGTGTTTTTCTTCTCGGACTATGATTGGTTGAAATTCGTATTTTCGTAAACACTACAATCATTCTAATTGACGACGGCGTAGGTTTGAACCCGCGAGAGTTTCGCCAGGCAGTGCACACGCGAAGCACGGGCCGACCGGACGCGTGGTGTACGTGGAAGGCGAAGAAGGCATTTCTGGACTACGCGGTCATCGGGAGGTTCTCCGACTTGGATTACGTGGCACAGCGAGAGCTCGCGCGCTGCATCGGGACCGTGCCAGAGGTGGTGCTGCACAACCTGTTGGAATTGCAGCGCAGTACGCTGTTTCTTTAAGTCAATAGTAGACGCCTTCCACTCGTCTTTGATCGTTATATGTATGATGTCTCAACCGATATTGCTAAATCGAATCAAAGAACCGCCACCTAAGCCAATCACAAACCCCGTGCTGTTGAATTTCTGCCAATCTAAAGTACGGATTCAGCGCACTTGGGCAAAACCTGCTTGCTCTAAACATCGGATGGAATAGTACGAAAATGGTTAAATAGGGTCATACACTATTGGGTAATTGTCTCTAACAGACCAAATTTAGGTGAACAGTACAATACATAAGCCTGGTTTACTATCTGTGCTACATTTTGTACTTCAGAAGTATGTCGAGTTCCTATTGATGGCTACGAATAGTAGTATATTATTAGTATCGTCGACTTGTGTACTTTCGCGTGAATCCGAAGTATATACTACTTACTACCAATGTAGTTATGTGCAAATTCCCAATCCGAAGTACTACTATTATGCATTCGATCCAATCGAATAGCGGCTGCCCAAACGCAGTCAATCGACTAGCCAATGAAATTGCTTTAAGCCTAAATTCCAACCAATAGTAGTCCGGCTCAAGGCTTCGGCCAGTTGAACTAACTATTTATATTCAAGTCTCGTATGATATACATTGTATGGTATGTATACAATTGTGCTTTTTCGAATAGATTGCCCAGTCCAAAATTGGGTGAAAAAAGACAATAGTAATACCAAAGTAGTTATGTGCAAATAGTTCGTTTCGATTTACAGTTAATAATCTTCGCCATCGTCCAAGTCGCGGTGTTGCTTGGACCAAGGATCTCCTTCGTGGTCCCCGCCGTCCTAAAATAAGCAATATGGATGTGATTATCCGGATGACATTGCATTTGATTCATTATCCGGATGACGATTCCAAACTTACGTCAGACTCGTCCGAGTCGGAGTCTTCTTCGTCTGGGTAGTCGTTGCCAATGTTATCTTCGTCGTTTGAATCAACATCATCTCTACAAGCCAGCCCAATGTCATACATACATACTGTAAAAAAGTATAGAAACGACGAACTCGAGCACTTCGTTGTCGCTGTCCACGTCGTACACCAGGTCGCGGTCTTCACCGTCCAAGTCCCCAAACGCCTCGTGGGCCAACCATTTCTCCACTGACGAGCTCACTACACGGCAAAATACAAGAATAAAAAATCAAATGATATTGTCCATTTGATACAAATTTGGAGAGGGGGTGCAATCGAATGGCGCCGACCAAACCGATCCACAATCGATCGGATTGGTTGAATTTTATTGAGAAATGGGTTTTGATTGGCTAATAATTTTGAGCTCATCTGAGGTAGCCAATTAAATCGATTTACCACGCCACAACACGAAAGTTCACTCGAAAGCACAAGAAATAAAAATCACATTGTTGGGTGTGTTTATTCAAAACAAATACTTCGCCATTCAGGTTGGAGAAAATATCCCATTCAGCGTCGACCAATCATTACAATCAATTGGTGTATGGCAACAAATAGTGTTAACGTATAGAGTGCCAATTCATGGTCACAGAACAACCCTCTGAATATGTATATATATATATATATATATATATATATATACGTGTAGCCATACAACACCAAAGGTTAAAAATTACACCAAGAATTGGAACCCACAGAGGAATGGCATCTATAATAAGATAAGTATACAGGTCAATAGTGCGAAATATGTACATTGCACGTTGATAATCGATGCCTCCATCAGGTAGTATGGTTGGATTGCAATCATTGGCCTTCTGCGCTATATACCCTTTACGACTTGGTACTCAAATAAAGCGACCGCTAGAGTTGGTCTATCATCACATTTTGGCGGAAACATACCTGTCACGACGGGCAGGTTGACGTTTATCTGCGACGTGGTGCTGCTCTGTGTCGCACCGAGATCGATGCTGTACACGTCGTATACGTAGTCCTTGTCTGTTTCCACGGCTTCGCAAGCGCGTAGGGCCACGGCGGCGGCCGAGTGGCCTTGATCTGTTGCAATGTCGGCGGCCGTCTTGCCATGCCAGTCGCGCAACACGACGCAGGACTACGTTCGTTGTTTGTAGTTAGTACTAGTAGTAGTACTATTAGTGCTACCGAGTTGAGTGCGAGGAGCTGCTCGATCACGTCGACGCGGTTGTGCATGGCCGCCGCCATGAGGATGGTGCCGCCGTCCGCCGGTCGTTGGAACTCGAGCGCGCGGGGAATCTGATGGCGCACTTGAAAGAACACGCTGAAGTCGTTGCGTTGAAATGCGATCCAAATGGCTTCGTCAATGTTGCGCTCCATGGGGTTCAGGACGCGCTTCGTGGCTCGGGCTTGGAGCGGCAAGTCGTTGACGACAATCTCGTCGCATGTGTCGATGCGCGGGAAGTCCACGTCGACGACGTTCAGCCCTCGGCCTTGGTAGATGCGACTTGCTCTAACATGGAGGCGTTAGACGATGCCGCCCGCCTAGGGAGGGGTTATTATCGTATACCGTTTTTGCTGTCGGTGGGCTTGGTGCTGTTCCTTCGTGGTCACTTTCGACGTTGTCAGCACTTGATGTCGCTTCAGGACTTCCGTGTGGTAGCGCTGGACACTCTTTCCCAAGCGCCGATGTAGTTGCTTGTCGTTGGACGTGGACGACACGGTATCAATGCGCGAAAACACAAAGATCGACGTCGACGTTGTTGTGGTTGCCGTCGTGGAGGTGTCACCTTCGCGTGCAATGGACAGACTGCTCAAGGCATCTTCCAGTCGCATCTTCTTCTGGACATCATGCTGTCCATGCACAGCCAGTTGTTCCACAGGCTCGTCGTTTCGCTTGCGCTTGATACGCAGCAGGACATTCGTCGTCATGGTTGATGATGGTGGTGTGAATTGCAGACTTCAATATTGGCGGCAACTAGTACTACTAGTATATTTCTATTCAAAATTTGACTGGCGGTTGGTTCATGATGTCCTCGTTTTATATGATCTTGGCAATTATTTTTTAAAGCTTTGGCACGGATGTACTAATAGTATTACTATCCCGTCAAGAATGGTGGTTCGTGGGTTTGGGTGTTTTTTCAACCAGGACTGATCAACCACGAGCCATGACTGATGCCAAGAACGACCCAAGGTACGCTTCTAGCTGCATGACCGTACTCATCATGGCATGAGACAGCTTTGCCGGCATTTCATCGAAGAATCGAGCCACCGAAAACTGGCCGTGGGTGGAGAAGTATCGCCCGTCGTCGCTGGACGACCTGATTGCCCACGCCGACATCATTTCCACGCTCAACCGATTGATTGATGCTCAAAAGCTGCCTCACTTGCTTTTCTACGGTCCTCCTGGCACTGGGAAGACGTCTATGATCCTGGCTGCGGCACGACGGTTGTACGGGAACAACTATGCGTCCATGGTCCTCGAACTCAACGCGTCCGACGATCGCGGCATCAGCGTCGTGCGCGACCAGATCAAAGAATTCGCAGGCACGAAGAAGTTGTTTTCGTCCGGGATCAAGTTGATCATTCTGGACGAAGCCGACGCCATGACCAACGACGCGCAGTTTGCGTTGCGCAGAGGTACTTGGTCCCTTGTCCTAAACTCCCATGAATGGCATGGTAGTGATTGAAAAGTACACCAAGAACGCGCGCTTCTGCTTGATCTGCAACTACGTGAGCAAGATCATTCCCGCGCTGCAGTCGCGCTGCACGCGCTTCCGGTTCTCCCCGCTCGCGGAACATCAAGTCAAGGACCGCGTCGAGCATATTGCCAAGCTCGAAAAGTACGTGTAACGTTGTACACCGTTGTGCACCGTTGAATACCGTTATGCACACCTCGTTTATAAGGTTTTGGACCTTGGCCATCGATTGTTTGTACTGAATTTTGGATATATAAACAGATTGACCAGTTTTCTCACACTAATTCAAGTCACATACGAAATATTCAATGTGGAATGGTTGAGGCGACAATTTAATTGGCTACTGGATTCGTGTTTTGGATTTTGATTGGTCGGTGCATTGTCCGTCGATTTGGATTCTCAATTGAGCATTTCCCACTGCAATTTTAAATCGATGTGGAATGGTTGAAGCGAGGATTTGATTGGCTACTGGATTCGTGTTTTGGATTTTGATTGGTCGGTGGATTGACTGTCGATTGAGCACCTCCCACTCCAATTTCGATTAATCGACATTAATGTAATCGCATCATAGTGTCGACATCACGCCCGATGGGTTCCGAGCGGTGCTGCGTCTGGGCGACGGCGACATGCGGCGCATTTTGAACATTCTGCAGGCCACCAACATGGCGCACGACGTCGTCAACGAAACCAACGTACGAATATCTTTTCAAATATATATTTATATATTATAGGTGTACTTGTGCACGGGGAATCCATTGCCGTCGGACATGGTGGCCATGTGCAATTGGCTGTGGACGGAATCGTTTGAAGCATGCGTGCGGCAGTGCCTGGACCTGCAGAAGCTCAAGGGGTATGCAACCATGGACCTGCTGCAGCAAATGTACTTAAACGCAAACGAACTCGAGCTGCCGCCCCACGCCCGCATGTACATCTACGACCAGCTCGCCCATCTCGAGCATCGCTTGGCCACGGGAACGTCCGAGACCATCCAGCTCATATCCCTCGTCTCTATATTTATCGCAGCTCGAAAACTCATCTCTGACAACCCGTCGTCGTAGGAGTCTTTGAGTAGTAGTAAACATCACGACGTCAATATAAAAAATATTTTTCAAATAGAATATTATGCTAATGCTCTTCATAAAAAAATTTATTTTAATAGAATAAATAGATATTTTTATAAAATCTGAAATATCACATGTGATATTTACTCAACAAGTACGGGGAAATCGACGCGGACGAAGTGGCCTTTCCAACCCCCGCGGCCGTTCCGAACGCCCAACCACATCCAAAACACGTCCAAGAACAGCAATAACTATAATAACATGCTACAACTAGTTTCACCACCGTCGAGACCAAGCAAGCCTCGGACCAACCACCAGCAATTGCTAGCGAAATACGCCTCCACCGACATATAACACTAAGCATCAACTAAAGTTTGTCAAACGAGCTCTGGGCGTCGTTGTTGGGGAGCATCAAACAAAATTGCACCAACGTTTGCACCAACTACGAACGACTGTTTTATGGAGTTAGGGCCAACTACGACTAGATGTGGCAGTACTTCATTGCCCCGACAAGCCTTCGTTTTAATCCCATTATGGCGCGCCTCGGAGCGGCACTTCAGCGCAAAAAGTATGCTTAGCATACACTTGGAGGGACGGGGCGAATCTGATTTTATGGCGGGAAATTGTGGTGAATCTTCGATCTTGTTCTACCCCCAACTTCATGTTCTCCATGGGATCATTCTCGGATGAGAACCCAATGTCGCCATGCAACCACATGGGGGCATCCTCCAGGGTTTCGCTAGTGGAGTCCAGCTGGAACCAGTACGTGGTGTTGGGCGTAACAATAATAGGGGGCTCGGGGGTCCACTGGAAATGGACCCCATCGACGCTGTCACTGATGGGGATGCGCGTAGTTGCGACAGGGGGGCCAGTGGGCCAGCCTAGAAGGAAAACTCTCGTGAATACATATTGGTATCAACAGCTATAGGGGGATGAGTGTATCAACGGGGTGTTGGTTACCGAAGATGGAAGGGGACAAATATGGTAGCAACCACATCGACGCGTTCTTGGGAATATGTTTAGGCATTTTGACGGAAAATTTGAAGTTTTCAATGGTCAGAGTTGAACTGTCTCCAGTGCCGGGAACATTGCCATACTCTGCTATCGACGGGGTGCGGAATCGAATCTTCCAAACTTCGCCGGAATAGGCGCGGTAGGGGTTGCGTGTTTCAACATCAAGGGGTTGGTTAACAAATGTTGTAAACCACAATTGAGTCGCAGCGGTGGCGTGGACGAGAGCAGCAAGAAACTTCATGGCAATAAGTGAAATAGAGAAATGAAAAAGGGGCTGACATCGCCCTTTGTTTGGGTGTTCTATAATTAATACAACGAAGAATTCAACGACCAAGCCATTCTCGATGACTTGTTCTGGGTGTTACAGTACTGTACCACCACCGACTCTCCTTGGATTGACCACGTGACGTGTTCTGGCAAGTCATCGAGAATGGCTGTATAGGGGAGCGAAGCCAACCTACACCACTGTTATGAAGTATTCACAGGTATGGTCCTTGATTCCTCCAAATCATGGTGTACCATCCATTGTCGAGGGATCAAATGCAACGTTATTCAAGTTGTCACGCGCGATTCCTGGTATTATTACCTCCTGAAGTATGTAACTGTCGCGTGTATGCACACGCTGCTCATACGAATACAATATTGCCTGAACAACTACTCTACTAGTTAATTGATTCGTGTACTACTACTGTACTAGTAGTAGTTTACTTACAACGTGAGATAAGTTCCATCGCGGAAGTTTGTCGTCACGTGGTCAATCCAAGGAGAGTCGGTGGTGGTACAGTACTGTAACACCCATAACAAGTCATCGAGAATGGCTTGGTCGTTGAATTCTTCGTTGTATTAATTATAGAACACCCAAACAAAGGGCGATGTCAGCCCCTTTTTCATTTCTCTATTTCACTTATTGCCATGAAGTTTCTTGCTGCTCTCGTCCACGCCACCGCTGCGACTCAATTGTGGTTTACAACATTTGTTAACCAACCCCTTGATGTTGAAACACGCAACCCCTACCGCGCCTATTCCGGCGAAGTTTGGAAGATTCGATTCCGCACCCCGTCGATAGCAGAGTATGGCAATGTTCCCGGCACTGGAGACAGTTCAACTCTGACCATTGAAAACTTCAAATTTTCCGTCAAAATGCCTAAACATATTCCCAAGAACGCGTCGATGTGGTTGCTACCATATTTGTCCCCTTCCATCTTCGGTAACCAACACCCCGTTGATACACTCATCCCCCTATAGCTGTTGATACCAATATGTATTCACGAGAGTTTTCCTTCTAGGCTGGCCCACTGGCCCCCCTGTCGCAACTACGCGCATCCCCATCAGTGACAGCGTCGATGGGGTCCATTTCCAGTGGACCCCCGAGCCCCCTATTATTGTTACGCCCAACACCACGTACTGGTTCCAGCTGGACTCCACTAGCGAAACCCTGGAGGATGCCCCCATGTGGTTGCATGGCGACATTGGGTTCTCATCCGAGAATGATCCCATGGAGAACATGAAGTTGGGGGTAGAACAAGATCGAAGATTCACC